CATATTTATGGACTGACCGCATAAGTAGAATAGGTTCAAGGTGAAGAAGGAGTGAGCCGATAAATCATCCCATTCTCATGCCACAAATGAATGCATCAAATGTCAAACATATGTTGAGTGTGTTTCACCATGTAGTAGCCCCCATAAATCACTTTAATCCTTTGGGAAATAAACTTAATCTGAAGGAAAGCATTGGGAATCTATTCACACTACATGTATTACTCATTACCCAAAGATGGAAAGATGTAGCATGTCTACCATTTAAAAATACATGTGAGACAGGTTCCCCCCCCCCCCCAGGGAATAAAAAGGTATATTCAGGGATGGTTACATGTATATCTCAGTAATCTTATGCAATAATTTAAGAAAGAAGCTCTGGGCTTTTTTCTTCACATATAAAGCAAAAATCACTATTTATATTATTTATTTACAACTAAATTCTTGTTACAAACTCTCCTAAACAACTTTAAACACAAGGCACTTTGTTTTATTAGAAAAATTTATTGCATCTCTTAAAAAGTATATTTACAAAGCATGATTACATAGTATATAAAGCTAGACAGTCTTACTATATGGCATAAATTGTTTTACATGTATGTAAGCCAGTACTGTTTTATAGACCGCATTTACAAATGAAAGAAAATACACAACTATCTTAGAATCTATGATCTACATATAACATTTCAGTCTTAGGAATCGCAACTATCTACAGTTTGCTGAGTTTTTGGTGAAGTGGTTTTCAAAAAAGCAATAAATGTTGTGGTACATAGGTTTTTTGTGACTCTGAGTCATCATAACAACAAATATTCATGTCATCTTTCCAGTTCGGAAATTTACGCAGATTTTTGTTGGACTAACAGAACTTGGAATTTCAACAAGGATTGAGAAAACAATAATGAGGGATTAACTGATAAAGCCTTAAATCAGAAGAATCTTCATTTGAGCTAAACTATGGTGATTTTAAGAAAACCCAGCTTTGTTTAGAGTATATAAAACCTGGAGTTGAAGTAGCTTTTTTTTGGCAGAATACGATTATGAATAAAAGCATGAATACTAATGTACATATCACAAGAATACAGCGAGCACATCCCATTATTAATTAGAGTGAATACAACAGAAGTCATTTGTACCTTACCACTATATCTAGACTTCTTAAACACAGATGTCACTATGTGCCTGGCAAATACATTTCAAGTATAACAAATTTAACATCAATTACATAGCAAAAACATTCATCAAACCAGTTCATATGCAAATTAATAAAGTACAAAAAAGTATGAAAACCATGTTAATAACGGAAGCCAGTTTGATTGTCTTTGCAAAAGGAAGTGTTTTTTTAGACACTTTAGCTTTGGGCACAATCACATGTACTATTTTGAAGACAAACTGCAGCATGGACCTACTTTATAAGCTACAGTACTACTGTGTTGCAGTACAATAATGCATTATGGGAAGGCATACATGAACGCTCTACTGACACTTTGTATACCATTGGGAATACAGTTGGGAAATGAATATCAAGTACTTTTTTTTTAGTACATTTTTCCACAAAATCGTGACAAAACGACAAAAATTACTGAATAATACAAAGTGCATAATCATGATATATTGCAACGTCCCGTGAGGTGAGTAACCATGGAAACGGAAATACTCCTGATATCCAATGAATATATATTTCAAAACAAAGTGAATATATAACCTACTCAAATAAATAAATACATAAACTCATATATACCCATAAATGCTGAAGTGATGTAGTACAAAATGTGTAGGTATATATGGAGATGATGATGATATAACTTAAAGTACAACAAAGGTAGTACAAATAGTCTCAATAGAGTCTATTAATTTGAGCCAAAAAGCTTGTTTCTCTAGATGGAGAAGTACTCAGTTTCATATTAGTGCAATTCTTTTAAAGTCACTATGATAAAGGTTTTAAACATATTATCAAAGGTATAGACAAGCATATTAAATAAACTTAAAGTAAATGTATATATGGATGGAATTATAACTCACTGTACATGTATGTAAGTTATTGACAAAAATACAACAGAGTTCAACAAATTTAACATCACATGTTCAAGGCCATAAATAAAAGTCTGATATGAATTTGATAAGCATGATCACCGAGCATGATCAATGATTTCAAAATTAAAAAAGAAATTGTCTGAATTGTAGTTTAACTTTAAAAAATTGATAGAGTATTTTCATCTGAATAAACTGTTATAATGTAATTGAAAACAGGTTTAATGATATTTTTTGTTATTGTTGTAGTTCATCTGAAGTTCAAATTATGAATATAGTGATTAGTTCTGATTATAACCCTTTTTGAAAAAAAAGACAGATTTACATTATTTCGCAAGGGGCAAGTCATTCTGATGAATTACTTTTTCTGGAACATGTAAAATCATAAGACTGTCAATAGAATCTTTTAACAGATAAAGCAAAGAAACCAATATAAGAAAAACTTCAAATGATATATTTTCTTTCAGGAAAATAAATAATTACTGGTATCTACATGTAATTAAGAAAGGACACAAACTAAGGCAGGATTTTTCTAATCACAGAATACATCAAAAACTGGATGGTACACAAAAAGGAAATGAAATATCTATACAAAACAGACATGCACTTGAAAAGGTAAACACCAAGAAAAATTGTCAAAAACAATTCTAAACAAAAAATTACTGTATTTTTCAAAAGCACATCATCATGATGTAGGGAAAATAACAAATAACAGATCATCTATAACTAAAAAACAGTTTGATATATTCTTTGGTCCAAGCATATATACATGTATCATCATCAATTTCCTAACATTAAATGAATATTTTTTTAAACATCATCTAGAAACAAACTGAGCACTTTGTGATAAAATCATTCGAGTCAGTTTCCAATTCATTTGCAATTTATAGTTAAGTGCTGTATCATAAATGTTAACCATTTTTAACTGACTATTTGCAGCCAAAACCGGTTCAAATTTTCAGGTTTAAATTAAGTGTCAATTTAGAACATAGATATTATCTCTTTTCTGTAACTCTCAATTACTGACAATGTGATAAAAGCATGACGATTAAAGATCTGCTCCTATCTACACAGTTCTTACATTTCCAGAGATAATTGTTAGCGATTGCACACGAAGTATTTATTTTATGTAAATTATGTACCAAAGTTATTGTTATTTTTAATATTTGTGAGGTCCATTTTTAACAAGCCATTCTGTGCTTTTCATGATCCTCCCATTTCAGATATTTCATTTTATTATACATATATATATTTTTTTTATCTTGACGTGGAAAGAAATAAATGAAATGAAAATATATATAGGGAAAGAGGTACAGATATTTTATGATGAATGATATTTTTATAAAAGGTTAACCTGTTTTGGAACAACCAGAATTATACAGCACGTTTCATTCAAGTGTCCCTTTAATACTAGCACACCCGCACTCGCACAAGCATGTAAAGAATATTCAATAAACAAGACACAAGCAATTAACAAAATCACCGTTCCTGACACAGACTCAGTGTCCTCTTTCACAGTCATACAGTCATATGAATAACAGACAAACTTCTGCAAATTTAGTAAGAACTCAGCCGAAGGAATACCATCAAACTGACAAACATTGTTCCATGATACAAAATTTTAACATGCAAGAATCATTTTTCAATTTCTAGAAATATATCTATTTCATTCGAGGAAAGGGTGGGGGGGGGGGGGGGTTAAAAGAACTTACATGTAGACACAGCATAGATGGGCATTTGAAACCACCTCTACCAATCTAACTGCATTTGAGGAGTATTACTGTTCAGTTTTTGCAGAAATACCTTTTGAAGTGGACATGTATGGGGATTAAAAACCTTTCAGCAGAACAAAATGTGCCCCCCCCCCAATTATCTTAAATGACTCAGAAACGGAGAAGCTCTCATCAATAATTTGCAGAAATGAAGGTCTGTTTCCATGACAACACACTCCAAGTGTAAACTCAGTGGTAATAGACAAGAATTGATGATTTTTTCCCCTCCAAGATTTGGCACTTTTTGACAAAATAAAGTATAATGAATATGGAACTTAATAAAATGTCTACATGTCCATGTATCATGCATATAGAATCTACACTGCACATGAATCCCTATCTTAAATCTTAAATTCAAATGGGTGGGGATAGAGAAGGCGAAGGGGCGAGGGGGAGGGGTGAGAAGATGATAGAGGGTGCAATAATTTCTCTTTGAAATTTATTTTCACATAATCTGTCTCTTCTTATCTATTCTTGAGGATTGCCTTGAGAGATATATAGAGGCAGGACGTGATATTTGCCAAAGAGATGAATGCATGCTTTTCTTCAAGACTGGAATGCTGAGATGCAAGTGTTTGGAAAATACATATTTCATCTTTCAACTGATCAAATACGTGCTTACACGTGAGGAAGCCGAGCCCCTCAAGTGCCCGTTCACACTTGAGTGGGAAAAAAAACTGCCACATCAAAATGATTTTTTTTGCTTTTGCATACACTGTAAATTAATGGAAAGTTGCAGTCGCTATAAGTAGCTTATGTAAAAAGGTCCCCTAAAAGTACTTTCGCACCCGTGTGTTTAAAGATACAGAAATGAGAAGTGTACTATTCTTGTGTCATTTTATTTTGAAGTGGCAGTTTTTGAGGCAGTTGAGGGTGCCATTAGTGAAACATGGATTAAAAGTTCAGCTGATATTCGCAGCTTAAGATGAAAGCAAGAAATAAATAAATTAGAATCTCATTCAAAATGTTTAAAGGCATCTCTACCATCGGAACATCGAAACCTCCTTTCCCCTCTGCCAATCTGCACCCCTTTCCCTCGGTCCACCCCCTCCCTTGCCTCCTTCCCCTTCCCCCGTCGTCATCTGAGCTCCGTCATGAGCACAAGGTAACAACTCAAGAGGAATAGGAGGGATATGATAAGCATGGAGAAATAGTAGATGTACCAAAATAGGACAGCCAGAAATAAAATGGTCAGCAACTTACTCTCCAGGCCGTCATCGTCGTCGTCATCGCAGCTGAGATCGCCGGACACGCTGCCGGAGAGGAGGCTCTGGGTCTCCATCTGCTTCTGGAGGGCTTGGAGTTTGCTCTCGTAATCCTAGCGGGGAAAGAAGCAGTGTGAAAGTTAAAAGTCAGTCCACATTTTTTTTTTTTTTTTTAAATAATTGCATGAAATTTCACATAAAATCAATTTTACAGAATTGTTTCAAACAAATATAATATGAATATCTACATATTACATGGACATCTTATAAGTGTAATCCAGTGATTTGTCAAAGAAAAAAGAACTTGTGCTGCCATGCACTGCTTTTCTTTCTTATTTCCAAGATATATCTGAAATCTATATAATATCTGCACACATATCCTACACATTTCTTTGCTATTCTATATACAAAAATCAATCCATTGGCTTCATATGACAGAATAAACTGGGGGTGGATTACCCCCCCCCCCCCCCCACAAAAAAAAAAAAAAAAAAAAAAAAAAAATCCAGCAAAAGTGTACATGAAACAAGAAGAAAGACCTTAAGCTGACCGACAGTTTACAAATCCTGGCCATTCTCAGTGATATAATTTGATTGCTCGGTCCATTGTTTATAGTCTTATCAGCTTGACTTGGGTACATGTGTGAACTTCATAACAAAGCTTGGGTTGAGATAGAAATAAAAGAAAGGATAAGTACCAGTCTCTGATAGAAAAAAAGAAAGGATACGTACCAGTCTCTGTTGCTCTAAGAGTTGGTCCACTTCTTCTTTCTCTTTCTTGTACTGCATCTCCATGGCAAGCAGTCTGGTGGCGAAGAAGTGTAGGGAAGAGATCACAGATGGGGGGGGGCAAGAGTGAATGGAAGGGAGTGAGAGAGAGAGAGAGAGAGAGAGAGAAAGGGAGTGAGAGAGAGAGAAAGGGAGAGAGAGAGAGAGGGAGAGAGAGGGAGAGAGAGAAAAAAAGGGAGAGAGGAAGAGAGAGAAGAGACAGAGAGAGGGGGAGAGAGAGAGAGAGAGAGAGAGAGAGAGGGAGAGGGGGGGGGGATGAGGAAATGAATGGGATATGGCAGATGAGATAAATGAAAAGGTAAAGGGAAAAAAGGGATAAAAATGTACAGATATTCGTGAAAGAGAGAGAGGGGGGGGGGAGTGACAGAAAGACAGATGGAGAGACAGAAAGAGAGACATAGATACATGGAAACAGAAAGACAAACAGAGAGAACAGGAGATAGACAAACACACACAGATACAACAAAGACAGAAATAGACAGACAGACCAATACAGGTTGTGGATGATGAGAGGATTTAACAGGACATTACAAGTAAAGGTAGAATGTAAATGAGAGATACAGCAAACACAATTGAAAGTGAAAGAAAAAAGATGAAAAAGTGAAAGTGTATATTTATAGATGCTCATTTATTTCAAATAAAACATGAAAAAAAAAGAGTTCAACATGATTACATGTACTAATCTCATTTCTATGATAAACTCTTTTAATTCATTAATAAAACATGTATACATGTAGTTCACATTAAAAAATCTTGTCATATCAATACCATTTTGTAACTTCAAATCATTTTTTCAAAATGACAAATAATAAGTGAAGATTACCTCTAAATACCACTAAAGTAAAGAAGGGTGATTTTCTGTGATTGATTTCCTTCAATCTATGTTACATATACCTTCTCTCCATTTCTTTCTCGGTATTAATACCATGGTATCACTGTAGCTCTGTGCTAAGGACAAGTTTCTACTATTCAATTTTTGAGTTTGGGCTTGCAACATATTATATACCACCTCCTTCCTGTTATTGTATTTTGTTTAACTTCTCTTACTCTCTTCTTTGATGTCAATGCCCTTGCGTTGCAACAATTCTTTCTGTGTGAAAGATCAGTCCCTTCCCTTCAATCCTGCTAATCAAGCTTGCACTTAATATCACTCCGTTCCCTCTTCCTTTCATCTATCTTTCATTTTCTTACCTTCTCTCCATCTCTTACTTGAAATAAATTCCCTGAACATGCAGCAATCTTTCTGTGTGAAATACCAGTCTCTGCTGACCTGCTGATTGGGCCTTCCCTCCATATCTTCCCATCCCCCTTTCCTTTCATCTATCTTTCATTTTCTTACCATCTCCCCATCTCTTCCTTGGTATAACTTCCCTGATTATGCAGCATTCTTTCTGTATGAAAGACCAGTCTCTGCAGATCAGGGCCCCGTCTTACAAAGAGTTGATCCAAATCAATCTCAAGTCCTCTAATCAATCACAAGTTTGCAATATCCTATCTCTTATGTACATAGTTGTGATTGATATCAACTCTTTGTAAGACAGGGCCCTGGCCTCCCTCCCCTTTCCTTCCACCTATCTTTCATTTCTTACCTTCTCTCCATCTCCTCCTTGATATCAATGCCCTGATGTTTCAGCAGCTCTTTCTGTGCAAAGGACCAGTCTCTACTGTCCGGCTTGCCCTCCGTGTCGCCTCCATCTCCCTGACCTCTCGTATCCTGGACCCCGTCGTTCACCTGTCCTCCTTGGACAGAGGAGGAGAGCTCCCTCTGTTGGCGGATCTGCTCTGGGTTGTTGAAGCGGAACACGTGATGCTTTCCAAGGATGATGCGGTAACCTGTTAAAAGGATCAGAAGGATGTTTAGTGCACTTCCTGAAACAAGATATGGCTAACTACTAGCCCAGGTAATGGCCAAACAAGATTTAATTCTATATGCAACACTAATAATCTTCCTTTGCCATATTGTACTTTAATATTATAAGATAGATATACCTTCTTCAAGAACATTTCATTTTTTCCAGTGCAAGATTAATCTATGTTAAAAGGGTTGTCATGGAAGTTATCAAGACCGGAATAGCGTAATTGTGCAGAGGCATTGTATTACACAAAGCAATTGTTCCATCAATTTGTGCCTATATTTTTGTGCAAAGTTACACGTGTGGCAATGGAGCAACTGTGCAGAAATGCAATAAAGCAGCCCAAGTGCTAAAGGGATGGTCGAGTTCTGGTAAAAAGTGAAGATTATTGGTGGGCTGTCTTATTTGTTTCAATAAGTTGCATGTACATTCACATGTCGTACAATGTTCCAAGACAAATATTGCCCTTTAACTACAGTCAAACCTGCTTTAGTGACCACCTGCCTAAAAAGACCACATTTTTTTGTTTCCCTTGAAAATGGTTTCTCATTGAAACATGTAATAAAGGGACCTGTCTACAAAGACCACTTTTTGTGTTTCCCTTGGGCAGTCGCTATAGACAGGTTTAACTATACATTCATATTCCACATATAACTAGAAATAGATGAACAAAATTTGAACCAATCTACAAGGATGTAAAACTCTATGTAAAATAACCATTTCATAAATAACCAGGAATCGAAAAAATTCTAAAGAAGAATATAATCTAAATTTAAGACTTGCCACTAAAGATTTGCGTAGGTTCTGTTATCTTTGAGCCATTGATGTAGCACATACGACCATCGAAGGGCTTCAGGGTGACCTGACTGTCCTTGTTCTCAAAGATACAATGCTCCTCGTTGATGTACGACCCACTCAGCTGGATATCTTGGGTCACGTTGGCATCTGAGAGCCCCACCCTATAGGATGAACGTTAAAACAAAGAAAATAGATCACAAAGAGTCCGACTATTGTTGTCACAATCATCAACTTTGTTGTTATTATCATCTTCATCATCATCACCACCATTATTATTACCATCAACACCCTCATCATCACTATCATCATTATCAACATCACCATGATCATCACCAACATCATCAGCATCATTATTATCATCATCATCCTAAACACCATCATCACTATTACAATCACAAAACTCATCATAACATGATGATTATCATCACCACCATCATCGTCATCATCATCATCATCCTCATCCTCATTGTCATCATCATCACAACCATTATCATTATTATTATCATCATCATCATCATCATCATCATCATCATCATCATCATCATCATCATCATCATCACAACCATCAATATCATCATTACTCCCATCATCATCATAGAATCATCATAGACCCATCATCATAGAATCATCATAGAGTCATGATCATCAGTACCATCACTACCATCATCATCATCAACACTACCACCACCACCACCACCATCTTCATTTCGGATTTGTATATAAATGATGTGTACCTTGTTATGCCTGGCTTGAGATGGTAGAGCAGACACTCGGACATCAGTGGATCCTCATTAAGATTAACAAGATGAGGAGTCTACGGTCGATATTGAATAGGTAGACAAAAAGTATTTCATTTTTATTGACTCATCAGGATAAAGTGCTTCAAAGCGTTAAGTGAATCAACTACTCACCTACAAATTAGCAATATTCACAGGTTTTCTCATGGTTATGTTAAAAAACAATACAAAAAATGTAATAATATCAAATTTTAGTATAAATGAATGATCTTGCAGTAAAGTTAATACAAATGAGGCCATTGACTTTGGGGAAACAGGGTGTTTAATGTATTACATATAGAAATTAGAGAATTCTGCAGTCATTAGGTTAAGAAGAAGAAGATTGAAGAAGATGGAGAGAAAAAAAGAGGAAGAAAGAAAGAAATAGGAAGAGAGAGAGAAAAAAAAAAGAGAGAGAGAGAGAGAGAGAGAGAGAGAGATAAAATACCTGTTTGGGGGAGAATACTCCAACAGTGATTCCATCTTCTCTCATGACGACACCCATTTCAGCTAACATCTCCTCTCTAAAATAAACAATAAATGTTACAGGATGCACACATCAATTACTATGTATACATGTATCATGTAATTTGTGATATCATATAATTCAATGAAGTTCACAAACTTGCAGCAGCAATTACACTATACGTGTCAATCAAAAGTATTTTATTGAACCAATTGAAAATGGAGAATCATTAACAAATTAAAACTCATATATCAAAATCAAAATCAGGTAAACATAGGTCTACATAACAATGCTAAAATACCACTTCTAGATTGTTTGGTGCTTCCAAATTTCAAAAAATACTTAGGAGAAGCTGCAATATTTCAGGAAATTAAAGAACATGAGATTTGGAAGGGAAAACGAAACTGAACTACTGTACTGTATAAGCAACAGGAGCCTCAATGCATACCTACTAATCTGTGCATAATAAGATGTTGTTTTCATTTTGGTTTCATTTTGGTACAATAATGTTGTTGCTATTTGTGGTTTGTTGTTTGACGTTTCATTGAACCTTCTGGGGTTGGACCCTGTCATACAGGTGGCCACTACATCACAGGTTTAAGTACTGTACATACTTGGAGAAAACAAATTTTCCAGGGGACCTACCTCTGTAACCTGATGGCCTCTGTCTTCTTGAGTTTCTCTTCCCATGTTTCATTCAGCTCGGCTATCAACTTCTCAGATTCCTACACAAACAACACCCAAAACAATGAAAATCACTGAGCTCTGTGTTACAAGATACAGAAATATGAAGCGCAATACACTTTACATCATGAAGACGAAAAAAAAAAAACTCGCCGGTTTTGAAGCGAGATATCTGAACGATCCTTAAGACCCCAATGCAGAAGTCTACAGTCAAACTACATGTATAGTGAGTACAGTAAACCAAGAAAATTTCAAGCACATGAAATTCTAGCCACATTTCCAAAAAGTTACGATTTGGTAGAGTCTCATGCTGCAATAGAATTAATCATAACTTGCTGAGTACTGTATCATTGCGATTCAAGAAAGTTGAAGAATGTCATGAAAGTCTTAGATTTTACAAGTAAAGAGTTAGACATCACCTTTATTCTATCCATCGCATCTTCTTTGACAGGAAGCTGGATCTTCTGGGGCATGGAAAGGTTTGGATTGGTGGCAGCGTTGACGTTGCTCACAAAGTTGTTGAGGTTGTTGGTGTCAACGTCGATGCCCTCCGTCTTGAGGATGACCTTCAGCCGATTGACCTCTTCCTTGAGTTCACGGATGAGACGGGCGTTGGGATCCTCGTTGACGATAGCCTTGCAGACGATGTTCTTGGCCCTGTCTGCATATCTGTGGAAAGTAGCAGGCAAAAAATTGGAGCACAAAGCGCTTTAAATAACTCTTCTAAGCTTAATGGTCTAAATATTAAGAAACTGGCTCAGGTAAACAACTAAAAAGACATTCATCATCTTACAGGGTCCCCTTTTCTCTCTTAGGTATTGAGTGGCAAGTGTAGATTAATGCCTTGCCAAAGGACATTAGTGCTGTGTCAGGGATCTATCCCACAACCTTTGAATTTCAAGTCAAGTGCTTAAACCACTGGATTGCTCTGGAGTAGTCTCCTTGATAAGTAACATTTCTATCAATCCTTTAAAAACATCAAATGAATGTAAAATGTTAATTTCTCTGAAACATAACAAACGGTCCTGAGTCAACAAAAAGAAAAATTGTGGAAAATATCCTCTTTACCTGAGCGTACTTAGTGTCTCATCGTAGTTGATATCGGCCGGACTTAGAGCGGCAATCATGGCCGTCTTGGAATTTCCTCCAAGGTTCTCTCGGAGTAGCCATGTTAGAACGGAATCTCGGTATGGAATGAAGTCTGACTTCTTCTTCTTCTTACTTGCCTGTTTAAAAAGAAAACGAACGTGAGAGCAAAAAAGTTGAGTCAATTTATTGCACAGTGTCATCTTTACCGAGGTTTATGCATTATCTTTCTATCAGGAATGTCATCAATTCCACATGATATATAAGCAGAAAGATAGCAAACTTCACAGAAAATGGGAGTCAATTGCTGTTGCAGTACATCATTCAGGAAAAGAATGATTTACTTGAAAATCAGTATGAAAGTCTTTAAATTGGCAATGCAGATGGGAAATTATAATCACTATATTCATGATCAAGTTGACAATTTTGGTGCATTTTGTAATTTTCAATGAGAAAATGATTGTTCATTGACTGCTCATCTTAATTTGCTACATACATATTTTAGACAGTGTATATGTACCCCGATCAAGACGATCAAGACATTACCAAAATATGTTACCTATTTAGATAACCAACCAAAAGTGAAAAGTGAAATATACATGTTCATGTACATGTACTTACAGTATATTGAAAACTGCTACAATAAGTGCATGTACATGCTGCATGATTGCATAATTGATGTTCTCGTACATTATGAAGTACAATTCCACATGCATCAAATTTCATGCTCATTCAATGTCTTGAATTGAGTGTAAATAGCACAACAATAAAAAAGAAGCAAATAAGCACTTTCAATTAGACAGAAAGCTAATCTTCACATACATGCAACTGTTATAAGTTAGAATGTTTGTGATAAGGCAGGATTCAAACATGAATACACATGCTACATCACAGGCCCTTTATCAAAGCAAAGGCCAAATGCTGTGTATACATTTAGACGCCATCATGCAAAGATTACTTTAAAATGTTTGAGCGGCTTTATAAACCAGCGCCCGATTACCTTCATGCACTCATACAATACACACTGTGCATGTGTGAAGCTAATAATGTCTACCTGTCGTGACACCGTGAGCACCGAGCTAGCTTAACGGCATATAAGCATACCAGGTTCTATACCCATACACACACGCATGGAGTATACATTGATCCAATCATACATGCATCATTCATGCATGCTCGGCGGTGGGTAAATGGCATCGTCGTGGAGAATGCGCCGTGGCAACCAATTAGCTAAAAACGGACGTAATTCTCACGAGGTGAAATAACACGTTTTAAAGTAAGACTGATGATATTAGGATGGCTTAGCTAATCACAGCGGTCATTTGAATTCTTATCAAATGTGTGTTTCCAACATCAGTGGTTGTCCAGAGCAAATGAATACTAGCCCCAAGATGGAAAATACTGAAATAAAAATGCATTCAAAGGATTTATGATCACTCTATCAAAACAAGTAGTCTTCTGACTTTAGATGTAGTCCTTCATATTTGATAATAAGTCCTGTATCTAGCCCTCTTATTCATGATATTAAGATTTTTGGACTACAATATATATCTAAAGTGTTTGGGATATTGATAAAAATAAACAACCGATTTATCTCAAGAAATGACACTTGTTGTTTGACTTCAGTATCACAAAAGCCATTACATAAGGCAATTAAAATTAATCAACAAATGTGAGGGTGTTTGTTTTGGTTTAGCTTACATCATTGTAAATAAACAATGGTATCATTATCACACAGGCCAATCATAATCATTCACAATACTGAGAGCGGTTGACTGTTTTCCTGATTTATGGGAAACTAAGAAGACATAGTTCTTTAATAGATGGGGCCAAAACAATACAGCTGAGGGGGTAAAAAAATAAAACAAAATGAAAAAAGGGCCTGATTTGCACCAAATATCCAAAAGTATTCATCAACTAAAAACAATTGCACATCTTTAGACAAAAAAAAAATGTTGAAAAAAAAAGGGTTGTGCTTATTCCTACAAGTACTTTTGTTACGCACAGTGTAAATCTTAAAATGTATGTGAACATACTCAAATGCATGTGATACATATTTCTATATGGAAAAAAGAAAATTGTATCTTCGTTAATCTTTATACTTCAGGCGTCATACAAAATTTTGGGTGTGTTACGAGCCCTCTATACAGGCCTATATTTTGGTGAAAGCTAGCATATGTAGCTGCCGGAGTTGCCGGCCCTCACGGGTGGCCCCCTGTGCATCATTCAAACCGGTAGAGAGAGGGCAGAATCATAACATATGGAACAGGATTGGCGTACTGCTGGAGGCGATCGCTTTATGGGAGAATTTAAAGGGTAATGAATGCATTATGAGGAAGGAAAGGGACTAATTGTGAATCATAGGGATAACGATAACAGATAAAAAGTAGAGAAGTGGGGAAGAGAGATAGAGAGAGAGGGATAGAGAGAGAGAGAGAGAGAGAGAGAGAGGGGGGGGGGGGGGTAGAGAAAGGTGTAAAGGGAGAAAAGAAAAAGGGGTATAGAGAGAGAAGGTGAGAGAGAGAGAGAGAGTGGATAGAGAGCAAGATAGAGAGAGAAGAAGAGGAGAGAGAAGGGATGAGAGGAGAAAGGAAAATACAGATATGATGAAAAGAGAAAGGGGAATACAAAACTATTAGGAAGAAATATCCTAAATACTACAGAGCTAGGGAGCAACAGGAAATAGAAACACACCATAGAGAGAGAGAGAGAAAGAATGATACAGAGATACATTTAAATGATAAGGGAAATGAAAAAAGGATAGAATTTAAAAAAAATATATAAAAGGAGGGGAGGGAATTAAAGAAGTGGAGAGATTGAAAAGCAAATACAATATACAAGGACAGAAAAAGGAAGAGAGATTTAAGAAATAAGAAAGGGGAAAGAGAAAGAGAGAGCAGAGAGGGAAGAAGAGAGACACATAAAAGAATAAGGTAAATGGATAGGAAAAGACTGAGAATAATTAGATAAGAGAGATAAAGAAATAAATTGAGAAATACAACATAAAGAAAGAGTGTTGAGGGAGAGTATACAAAAGGAAAAAGGAAAAAATAACATGAGAAAGGAGACAGTACCCCAAAAAATAAAAGATAAAGAGCGAAAAAAGAGAGAAAGACACATTTATACTGTATACAGGGACTAAGGGTTGCAGCGTTGAGACTGCCAATGCAGTACGGAGTTGATTCCCTAAATCTAATAAGCTAATCACATTGATTAATGCAATAGAAGCCACAATTCATATTTTTCTCTGGGCAAAGTTAATTTCTAACTTTGTCCCCCTCTTGAGAAATACCTACGTGCATGTTACAACCGTGACTCATGCACGAACACTCTCTACAGGGAATAATATAATATTCAATACTCGGTCAAGTCAAAGGAAAAACATCCAAGATGGCTGCCATATTATGAAATGACACAGAAAATCGGATTGCATGAAAAATTGAGACATTCTCTACATAATTGAATACATTCTCTCCCAATTTCATTTTCTTTTCATCCTGGATATTATTTAAGCATTAAAGCACATATACAATTAAATTGATAACTTGACCTTTATTATAGAGCTTAATAGTGGGTAAAACACAGGGGCATATCTAAAGGGGTGCACACGCCCCCCCCCCTGCCCCCTTATCATATGACCTTTATTATAGAGCTTAAAACACAGGGGCATATATCTAAAGGGGTGCACACCCCCCCCCCCCCCGCCCCCTTATCATATGGTGGAAAAAATAAAAATAAGATAACTAAAATGCAAGACAAAAGAAAAGGGGGAAGGGAGAAAGGAGAAAGGAGTAGGGGGAGAAAAGAGAAAGGGCGAGACAAAACATCTGGACCACCTCTCAAACCACCAATCCATTGCCTTGTGAATTTTCATTTAATTTTCAGAATAATAAGATGAGTGCACCCCACCTCACCCCTCCCCCCTAGTGCAAGTGCCCCCCCCCCCCCCCATGCATGGACCCACATTACACCACTGCTTGAACACCTTGTCCAAGTATGTAAGCTCCAAGCTAGGATAAGATTCAGGACCTTTCTCATGAAAGTCAAGTAAATTCAAATGTTCCCAGACACCCTAAAATTGTTTAACATCTACTCAAGATATGTTGTCCTATAAAATGATGTTTCTATGACATGTCTGTATTAGGTGGCACTCTACCGGTTAAAAAATTGAGTTCTGGTTATGCCACTGTACTTTGAATAGAACCGCCGGGAAGCAGTTGAAAGAGGTTGATTATATAGCACAAGAGAAATTTTCATCACTGTGAAGTGTTGGATGAACTAAAATGATTCTAAATTGCCTCAGTTTGGCTGAAAATCACATAAACTGTACACAGGAATATGCACTGCACAATCATGTGGCATGAAGCTTCGGTCCACATATTTTGACAGTTATTTCTTGTCATACTTTGAATAAGAGGGCATTTGAAGAGCAGTCCTTTTCAGGAGACATTCATTTTTCTATTGAATGCAATTTTTTCTTCTAAAGTTCTGCATTCTGCACCTTATATCCCCTGATATTGTCAAAAGCTTTCATCTCATGGTTCAATTAGCAGTTGTTTTGTACGACTAAGGATATTTTTCAACGATAGAGCTACTCAATGGTCTTCCCTAATTATTGAATAACTCCATGACTAAAAATAAATTGAGAATGGCTTCCATAATTAATGTGTTCTGTACACATGAATGCTAATTGTGCATCGGTTTCAGCTGATTGGAATTCACCACATTAATAGGTGGGAGATAAGAAAAGCCTCCATATGTTGACAAAGTTGTAGCCCACACTTTCATAACCATGCAAAGGCTATGAAATACACTTTGGAGCAAGTGAGATGTCATTACAATAAATATTGTGTATTTCTGTATAATGTATGAGTATGTATTCTTTCAGTTTTTGCAGAGCTAAATCACTCACTGCCCCCTCATTTTTTTCCACCGCTGCAACCTAACTCCTATGCAGGATTAGGGTACCCCCGCAGATTGGTAATGTTATAACCGATAGAGTCGTAAACAGGATTGTGCATTCTGCTGCACCAATAGCCGCTAGAGTCTAGACAGAAACGTGTGAAAAACCCTATCCGATTCCAACTAAACGAACCAAACCGATCGTTTTTGCCTGATTAATTATGATAAAGGCGGTAGAAATCACATCAATTCAAGATGTCATTTCAAGCACACCATGGGTATAGCTTGCATGGTGGCAGACAATTTTAACACAAACCTTTATCCATCATGAATAAAGCAATAGTTATCGCTTCCTTTAATTGAAAATGACTTTTGCTTTTAAAGTTATTCTCAACTGAAATTAAATTCTAGCATGCTATAGGTAGCAAATTCCACATCTGAATACCCATGATGCACTGCATACTGTTTCTACAAACATATATGTACATTTATTGTTGTTTGTTTGTTTGTTTGTTTGTTTTTTGTTTTTCTTGAAACAGAAACAAGTTAATTTGTTGTCAAGTTTGGACATAACAAAGATATTTTGCTTTCACTGTTATCCTCAACAGAATATTGAATAATTCCCGGTCAAGGGTGACAGATACCACCATAAATATATGTGGTGTACTGCATGTTACTTATATTTATTAACTTTCTTTCCTGCAACAGAAACAAATACATCCAAATGTGCTGTGAATTTTTATCCTAAAAAGATATCATTTTAAAGAGAAGTTTGATGTCGGTATGAAAGGCTATCAGAAGTGATCCTTGTAAAGAAAAACAAAGAAAGTTGCTCTATAAATGCTCTCATATTCATAATATAGATGATTCCCAGACCTCCCAGTATACCAGTTTTATGTTCTACAAAATCAACCTATACATCTTAATGTTATTACATGACTAGAACTCAACATTTCCAAAGATAAAAATCCATACTATTTATCTTGCAGTCAATATAGAAGCCTACATGTTCAATAAGGCGTTTTCTCAATGACATCTACAGCACTGTAATTAAATTTCTCGCTGCTAGTACGTTCCTCAAACTTTTCTTATTACAGACACCGGATGACACAATTGGATTTACGCATCTTGCGACACTGAGGCAGGTTGTGTATCACGTTTTTGAGACGGAATTCGCTAACATGGTTTTCATCAACGTACATGGGCCAACCCATCCTGAATTAAATGAATTACTTCTGGTGTATTTGATATGTGTCCTGCCTATGTTGCGATAACATTAACCTTTACACTGTGCAAGCCTGTTTTTAAACATGCATCACAAGTCAAATTTTGTGAGACAAGTTTAATTATGGTTCTGAGGGGGTGGGGGGGGGGGGGTACATATATAGGCCATCTTTGATACAAGCAGGGTATTTCAACTTCACAACATTGCCTTAAATTTCCAACACGTTTCTTGTAAGAAGAGAAAAAATGAGATGGAAATTAATGACTGGATGATATGAACTGTTTGGAACACAATGGGTTAAAGCCTGTCTGCACTAGTTTGGCCAGGAGAGATTAGACCACCCTGCAAGGTCACTGACAGGTGGTTATCTCATCAAATCAGCTCTCAATTAACATAAGAAAAAGAGGATCATGGGGCACCAACGCGTACCGCTTAGGCATTTTTGCTACAAGTAGTGCAGTCCCGCTCTAAGATAAGAGTAAACAGATACGAGACTGTTAACAAGAAGGTTGAGTGGCGGTAAAGGTTAGACATAATTTGTGAGATTTCTAAAGCTCATCGCACACTTTATATGATCTTCCATCGATCCGATTTTCTAAGAAACAGCAATTATATTAGATAGGGAAATCTAAACAAGCATCATCTCCCTGATTTAGGTTCTAATAGTGACAAGAATACTAAGAACTAGCATTTTAGTGCACTGCAATCTAAGCCTGCTAGTAGGAATAACAGCGGAATCAACTAAATCACAGACAATTGCTCTACTGATCTGACGTTGCTATAATTCTGAGCTGATTGAGCTTCACCTCCTCCAAAGAAGCATAAATCCCTTGAAAGTAAGATTTATTAATCATATGAATATTCAGATTAACGATCATCACTATTATACACTGTACAAACGTTCACATCAAATACTGTTGCAAATTCTTCCAACATCGGATCACAGAAAGATCATACAGTTTTTCGATGGGCTTTAGAAATGTTACAAATTATGTCTAACCTTCTTTTCGCGATAGAGTCAATTTGTTGTCATTTTGATGATTTCCAAACTTCACAATATATACCACATAATAATCAACATGATGAGCAAATAATGTACAAAAAGCAGAGTTTACAGTAGGGGAATATTATACAGCGATAATAGCTCAAATAAAAGTTACAAGAAAATAAATATACATCATCTAATTAATCTGCCTTTATAGAGCATACGTCAGAGTTGCGTATTTCAAGTAATGATATTTGTTGTACATTGTCAAAATCAAATCACAGCTTACATCCCACATGAATATACAGAGAAGATGAAACAAAATCTCTCTCTCTCTCTCTCTCCATCCCTCCTACAATCATAAAGCTTACACATTAAATCTTCCAAAGTTGACAACCCACACAGTCATGAATATTGGGCTATACCACAAAGCTTGAGATAAACCAATAAAAAATATGGCATCATGCAATAAGAATAATGTAGCTGGAAGTTAGTGCTGCTATGAATGGATTCGAGGAACATTTATGTTATAAATCTTATGAATATAAAATCAAGGTGTAAGAAAGCCTTGAAGTTCATCTTAAATAAGGTAATGGAATGGTATATGAAGAGAAATGCAATTCCATTGGCTTAAAGTAGTTCTAAATAATCATTCATGCAGTGTATTTTGGATTTGCTGGAAATCACATTCATGGTCCTGTGCTAGACATGCCAATGTATATAGGAGAACTGTATAACTCAATAACAAATAAAATAACAACATTATAAAATGACAGCTTTGAAGACTCAACAGCATAATATACCGCATGCAACACAGCACTGTGTGTATAGAAGTATTGTCCTTGTACACTTTGCAGTGTAGTACTTAAGACTAAAAGCGAATAAATTCCCTCACAAAGGTATAATCTGAGGAAGGAGGAAGATCTCCATATTGTAAATAGAAAGTGCTCGTTACGAAATCGTACAACTAAAATACTGTTTCATGTATTTATCATGCAGCTTAAAAGCATCATGAATGGCTTATAGAGATCCACCCCCCACACACACACACCCACACACCCATCCACACTCCTTCCTACTGAAGGTGGGTATAGTGCTTTAATGCTACATGTGAATATGACTAAAGCAACACTGTAAACTGTTAAATTTGCATACAAATAAAGCTAATTTAATATACAAACACATTTTTTAAAATAGCACAAATCAAGAGGCGTATACATTTAAGCAAAACTATGTGTGGCTACAGCTAAAAGACAAACTATATATCGTAAATTTGCATTCACACAACAAAATACTATTTTATCATATACAGCTTCACAAATGTCACAACACTATACATTCACAATATGCACAACATTAAATCTTTGGATACGAGATGTTACGACTCTCACCTTATCAATGGGCATACTTGACTATTGGTGTGACAATGTTAGTAGCAGAAGGAAGTAAGGAGTAATTAGAGAAAAGGTGGTTAATTGAAATGTTAAAAGGTTAATTATCAATAATATGGTGCTTTTATTAACAGTAGGCAGAGTAAAATACATATTATAATATAAATACACAACATTAAAAAATGTACAATACTTTGCTTCTGTTTATTTCTGAAGCCACCCTGCCATAGCACTGTGTTATGGCCAGGTTTCCACTGAATAATATCGTTACAGAAACTCAGTAATGCTAGCACTTTGAACACATGAGGTGAATTTAAACATGTAGGATTCCCTTCTTATTGAACATTATTTTTTTCACAGTCAAAAGCTAAAACAGAGTTTCTTTTGAACCATTCATCAAATTTATTCATAGGTATTATAAACGATGTTCTGAACATTTCCTATATTAGGTCTTTGAGTCCACCCTCAAACAATGTGGGAGGGATGCATCTCATTGAATATTGCTAAGACTTCGCATATTGTCTTTTTTTTTTAACCAGAAGGGTATTAACTCACTTCATTTTACACAGAGACAGAACTAACACTTTTCTGACTCTAAATAGATGATGTAAGAGTTTCCAAAAATGCAGGATTTCCAGTTTTTCATTGAATGTTGCATATCTTTTTGTGATTTTGGCTACAACCAACAAACGATTCTGACGATCTCTTATTAGTCTACCGAGTCTTCTGTGTAAACAAATTGTGGGGGGGGGCTACTCGACCATGCTGCAAGACAGAGCAGAAGAAAAGAGCGCATATCTTATTATAAACATGACGGAGGTGAAAGAGGAGAAGGGAACAGCCATTATTGGCAAGTGTGAGCGGAAGCTGGCCAACGAGGGCCTCCTTGACATGGTTCGGAAAATGAAAATGACGGAGGGGTAATTAAAGATACCAACATGGCCTAGCTCCAGGGAGGGAGGGCGGAAAATAAGGGCGAGGGCGAGAGCGAGGAAAGGAGAGGAGAAGGCAGACGAATGTAAAAGTAGAGAGAGAAGTAGAAGGAGAAGCGGAAGGAGAAAGAAGAATTAGGAGTGAAATCGAAAGTGAAATGTAGAAGTAGTAGACTTCTAAATGTAAAAGTAGTAGATGTAGAAGTAGTGGAAGTAGATGTAGTAGATGTAGAAGTAGTAGATATAGAAGTAGTAGATGTAGTAGAAGTAGATGTAGTAGACGTAGTAGATGTAGAAGTAGTAGATGTAGAAGTAGTAGATGTAGAAGTAGTAGAAGTAGAAGTAGTATATATAGATGTAGTAGATGTAGGAGTAATAGATGCAAAAGTAGTAAATGTAGAATTAGTGGTTATATGTAATGCAGGAGGACACTAAATTCTCTCCCCTTCCCTCTTTTTCTCCCATCCTACCACCCCCTCCCTCTCCCTTCATCTATTCCTCTCCCTTCCTTCTTTGTTCCCTTCCTCCTTCTTCCCCCCCCCCTCCTTCCTTCCCTCTCTCCCTCTTTGCTCAACCACTCTTCCCACTTTCTCTCCCTCTCTCTCACCCTCCAGAGCTCTATCGAACCACTATCCCTGAGAAGCTCTGTAAACAGAATGAAACAATCTGGTGGGTTTTGATTATCATGCTGAATCATGTCTGGCAGGTAGCCTCAAGACTGCAAGCCAAAATGGGAGGCCTGTGCGCTGGAAAACAAGTGAAATCGCATCCCAAGTAAAATGTCAATACTTTCAAATACAGGCAGCAAATTCAATCTGCCTAGGATGAGCGAATGAGACGGCTGTGGGAAAGGGAGATGGAGAGAGCATGGATTATAAGTAGGGAGGTGGAGGGAGGTGAAGGGAGGTGGATGGAGATGGAGGGAGATGGAGGGAGGAGAGAGGAGAGGAGAGAGAGAAAAGGAGAGAGAAGGAGAGAGAGAGAGGAGAGAGCATGGATTATAAGTAGGGAGGTGGAGGGAGGTGAAGGGAGGTGGATGGAGATGGAGGGAGATGGAGGGAGGAGAGAGAGAGGAGAGGAGAGAGAGAAAAGGAGAGAGAAAAGGAGAGAGAAGGAGAGAGAGAGAGAAGGAGAGAGAGAGAAAAGGAGAGAGGACAGAGAGAAGGACAGAGAGAAGGACAGAGAGAGAAAGAGAAAAGGAGAGAGAGAGAGAGAGAGAAAGAGAGAAGGAAAGAGAGAAAGAGAGAGAATGATGGGTTATGGTAACCACAGATATGTGGAAAGGCTGAGATGAGAATGTAAATTTGGCAGGAACAGTGTACGAAGAGTATGAGAGAGAATTTAAGCAGGGAAGCAAGAGGAGAGATGAGAAACAGCATAAGTATACAGAAAGAAAAATAGAAAGATAGTGAGAAAAGGCTATGGAGAGATAAAGGGGAGGAGTAGCAAGAAGAGAAAAAATGTTGAGGAAAAGGAGAAAATGAGAGAGAGAGATAGACAGAGCGCGACAAAGCAAGAGTGTTAGAGAGATAGGAGTATGAGAACAAGAACCAAAAAGCTCTTGGGAGAGATGGGGAGTATAAGACATACAAGTCAGATTCTAAGGAGTTCTGTTTCTAAGAAGACATAAGAATTGCTGATGAACCATCTCGCTTATCTGAAACTGGCTTATGGGGGATGAACATAATTCTATGCAGCTGCAATAGTACTACTCCAACATTAATCTCTGATTTATTTGCTGCAACCAGTGAACATCCATTTGCATTCCCAGATATAAAATATGGTCTGCTCAGATCCAGAAGGACTTTAGCTCCTAGAGTTAAACGCCCTTCTGGTACTCGATAGGGCCACATTTCACAAAACTTGTCATCGGTGAAAAATGACCGTTTTGTTTTAAGCTAGTGAAAATCCTTGCTTCTGATTGGTTATCAGCAGATTTGTCATTGAAAAAAAGGTTTTGTGAAACGGGTCCCGGATAATTACTATGAACAAGGGCATGCGATGACAAAAGACAATAGTACCCAATTGTTCCATGAATATGAAAATAATTCAAAAACACGAATCAAGAATGAAAGAAAGTGTGCATTAGACTACAAACTTTACAAATATCAAGAAAATTGTTGCGAAAAAAAGAAAAAAGATGGCCTAGGGTCCAAGAGGGGTTTTGGCATATCTTTTATCCTATTAGCAATGCCCTCTTTGCTCTAGGCATACTTTAAAAGGTCCATTCCCCCACATCATCCTTTAATTATAATTTAATCAGAACGAGGCATCTTCTCTGCATGTGGCTATCATCCATTATGTATGAATGCAAGCTGTAGTATGTCATATATAATAATTATTACTACTCATATAGAGCATAAATCCCTCTCATTTTCTCCTAAGACCATCATTATTTGAGTGGGAAGTAAGTTTGTTTTTTTACAATTGTGATGGTAATTGCACATGCAGAATTTCCAAGAAGACAAAATTGATTATGCTTGTTTCAGAGGTTCTCACAACATGTACTGGAAAGAGATGAGGTCATATGTGATGAATAAGAAGGTTTCTTATGAGAAGTAAAAAATAGACAAAATAGAAATGAATACAAGAAGATATTTCTGAAGAGAAAGTGGTTTATTTGGTGAGAGATTGAGACAATTGACCTTTCAAGCAGTTGCTATATAGGTGAAAGTGTAAAAGCACAGAAAATAAAATGTGAATATCACGGTGATAAATACGAAATTTGTCAATACCTAAATAGAGGAATTCTAGATTCTGCAAATAGGTCAAGAATGTTTGATATACTCTATTGAATCCAAATGTCCCTTTTCACAAATGATACATGTATAATGATATGAAGAACATGCAATGAAAGATTATTAAGATTATTACGGAAATAGAAGTATGTAAAACATCTTCTTCTTTTTTTTCTTTCTTTTTTTTTTTTTTTTGGGGGGGGGGGGGGGGGGGGCGAGGATGGAAATTAAGATAATGAGATAATTGACTCTAGTGACCACATAAGCCATTTTAAAATTGTATATTACATGATACTGACATTTAAATACTCTGAACTTCTTATCATTTGTAACATTTCCTTAAATTTTTCCAAAGCAAAATGTTTCCATCTCTAATTTCATGTAAAAATTGAAGAAAAAAATCAACTAAAATCTTTGTTGTTTTCCCCCCATTTTGTCGTTTGCATGCTAGACTTCACAACCTTTCAAAAGATTCATGTAGAAACAAGCTGATATATATAATTTATACTTGATTGATAAAAATGTAATAGCCTATAGTGTTACAGAGAAATGTGAAATGTACATAATTATAGATTGTGCAGAGGTGCCATGAAATATGTGTTTTACCATGCTTTTGAGAAGAATATTTCATGAAAATGGATACAAAGGACGAGAGTTTGATATAAAAGAAAAAGAAAAAATATTCAAGATGGTCTAATCTTCTTTCTTTCCCCTTTTCTCTTTAATACCTTGTTCACATACATGTATGATGTGTTAAACCAATTCTAAAGAAGTTGCCATGGCAAAATAAAGGATGTCAGAGTAATACATTTCACTTATTTGCATCTAACAAAACCCAGAAGTAAGTAAGCTTATGAGACATTGTTATGTGCAGAAATGTACTCTTACATCAACCTACCCTTCATCTACACATAACATGAATTTATTATGCAATGGTGGGTTTTATTTTTAAGTAGTTTAACATGTCAACTGTGAAGATTTTCTCTTAATATGCTGTACCTCATGCATTAAAAGAAGATATATCATGATTATGAAAGCTACACTAGCTTGAGTAGAGCTTGAGTAGTACATGGATATTCATGTTAGAATGATGTGCAATTATTTTCAAGAATGTATTTAATGTCATGCTTTTTACAGAATATAGATTTTGATAAGATGCAAAATGCAGAGAATGTGTTTTTGATCTTACATTCTTAATATTTCTTGGTTTCCCTGACTGTGAAGACTGAAGAAAGCAAAACAAACAAACACACAAATAAACACAAATACACACACACACACACACATGAACACACATGAACAATGTAATAAAAACTGAAAAACATTCAACACAAGTAAAATTCAGAGCTACAAACATTTGCATGGATGAGAAATTATTACATTTTAAATAATTTTACATTTTAATCTCATCAAATTAAGTATATTATTTATATACTGATAATTTAAGGGCTTTGTATGTGCTTTTTTGTATTATTAATATTATGATGTGCATATGATAAAAATAATACTTCAAATATATAAATCTTTGCAGCTAGTTCTAATTAAAACAATATTTAATTTTCAACATATCTATGGATTCACATCATAATGAGAAAGACAAGGATTTTACCTTATCAACTCAATTATTTCTCATATTTCATCCAACAAACTTCAAACAGAATCAGTCAGAATAATATATGTTAGGGTCAAAAAGACTTCTGAAATATCAGGCAATTTGAACAACCCTATCCAACAAATATTAAAGGCCGTCTGTACTAGTTTGGCCAGGGGGATAAGACAAAACAGCGTGGTCTGACTGACAGGTGGCTATCTCATCAACTCAGCTCTCAACTAACATAAGAAAAAGAGGATCATGGGGGACAAACAGTCACGGCATTGTTTTCTATATAGAGGGAGCAAGTAGCTACAAGTAGTACAGTGGGGCTTTAAAAGGTACAAACATCATAATTACCTATTTTTCCTAACACAATTTCTATGGGATGAACAACATAATATTGACATTGCACTTGATTTGTTTTCTGCACTATCTTTGCTATATTCACGACTATATGAAGTAAATCAAAGATATACTTACAAGTTCTGCTAATGCTGAAATAACTTTTCCCAAGGTGGTTAATGATTTGTTGATATTTGCTCCTTCCTGTAAAACAATGAAATGAAATGAAAATTGATTATAATCTACATTTTACCATTCAATTGCCTAGATAATTTCACTACTAGTATATATGTCTAATGTCACCCAGTATTAAAACATATTAGTACAGATAAATCCTGTGAGAAAAGATTTTCAAGCATACTGCCTTCAAGTTGTTAATTGTCTTGATGCAAACATCAAGGAAAACAAGACCTTTCAGCATTTCTTAACCCATTAATACATGAAGTACATAAGAAATTTGGTTCAAACATGTACAGCTATGTATGAGTTGAATATTTCAAGACAAACATCTTCACAAATCTCCCCTGATAAGCTGTCTTTTACTGCTCTTCCGATTACTCTTTTAACATAAATGTTTCATAAACACCTTTTTATTATCAGACTTCTTTGTCCTTTATGGAACTCCAATAGAAAAATCATAATAGCAGTTCATCTTATTTCTAAATTGGGTAATTCCGCAAAGTGGATCCCGTACGACATCCATTTATTTTTTCAAAGATTTATTGAAGAAAAAATGTTTCTATGAACATTGACAATTGAGAGGGAAACCGCTTGGACTAGGACAGCTAGAGACAGAAGAGAATGGAAATGTTATGACTTATGAGGAGGGCTTTGTCCAACGTCTGGATGAACTATAGCCTGATAGATAGATAGATAGGGAAACCAAAAAGATACATTAATATGAAAATATGAAATATGCAGATGAGAGACTCATATTGGATAAGATACATTTCATTGAACCACCTTACTCCTTCAAGATCTTGCTGATACCAATGCTAAGGTTCTTAGTCTCTCTCCAAATATACCGGTCATTCCTTGTTCTAAGCCCCGTCCCCTTCACCTGCTTCCCCCCACCCCCTCCCGCCACCTTTTTTTTCTCTCTCCCTTCCTTCCTCTCTCTATTTATCTCTTTCTCTTTTTTTTTCTCAGTCTGTCTTTTTTTAATATTCTCCCTCTCACATTCTTCTCTTTGTCTGTCTGTCTGTCCCCCTATCTCTCTCTGTCTCTGTCTCTCTCTGTCCGTCTCTCTCTCTCTCTCTCTCTTCTCTCTCTCTCTCTCTCTCTCTCTCTCTCTCTCTCTCTTTTAAAGTCTCTTTTCCTTTCAAATTCTCAAACATCACATGTTTCAGTTGAACGTCACATGTTTTCAGTTGAATGTCAATTTCTCATTTTCAGAATTCCCCAGAAGTACAGCTACTTTTACAAGTGGTTAATGAGGTTTTGTAGAGAGAAAAAAAACATGTCATTCATAATCTCCTAAATGTGGATACCTGACATTTCATAGGCTAAATATAGAGGACAATCGTTTCCAGTATGAGGTTAACTATTTTAGTTAATGGTACAAGTAAAAGACAGCCAATGATTTCTTCCTTTCCGGCCTGGTGCACGTGTCAGCAATTATGCGGCACAAGATGCCCAAAAATAGTATATTATGCAAAGAGTTCAAAATCAGGAAATCTTGTAAGGACGTCAACCCAAATACTAAAAGCATGAAGACATCTGACCAATCTTTTGGATGTGCCTTCACGGAAGAAAAGAAGAAAGAAAATATTGAAGACTTACTGAATGTCAGCTTTTATCACATCTATTAAATTATCAGAGGGGACCCTAATAATTACAAGCTCTGCTTTTACCAGGGTCTCCTCGTCTTTCTTTTAGTTAGCTATGTTTTTTTATCATTATCATAATTTGTTATTTTGCTTTGTAAATGTGTTATGATCCAATGTTATGCTCTGTATGTCATTTGAAAGAAAGACGAATAAAATCTTATCTTATCTTATCTTATCTTATCTTATCAAATCTTCATGTCATTTCTCCAAAGGTCACTGCATTGATTTATATGTATGGGACTACAATGACAGCAGTAATGGCGAGCTAAGGAGCTTTATTTGACGCGGAAGATGAAAGTGGCATCTCCTTCTTCTCCCTCGTCTCTCTAGCGCGATATGAAATGGACGTTAGCACATCAGGGAGTATCAGGTCTGCATACACACAGTGTTTCAACTCATTCAACCCACCAAATGTGACCCATTTTTATCAGTTTGTACATGAATCTGTTTTATAGGATAAGATGTCTTTTGAGGTACCATACATGTTTCACAATTTTCAGCAGACAATTTGCTGTGTTTATTCACAACTCCTGATTTATAAAGTTTTAATCTTAATTTCCTTCCATAAATACATCAAAATGTGCTTTCTTTCACAATATTTTCCAGTCAACTGAATATACATATAGGCTTCCAACAAAAATATTGCTGTGAAAGTTATACAATACTTTTTTGAGTATGAGTCATCCAGATGTAACTTCCTGCATTTGGACAATTTCCTTTTCCATGAAGGCTATATAGCAGGAAGCATTTCAGCTCTATAACAATATCCCATGTTAAGTTTTGATATGAGTCAGAAGGACGTTAACTCTATGTTGGTTGGTAGGAGTTAATGCCCTTCTGGCTCTCAGCAGATACATAGTCATTCTCACGTGTTGACCTTTACCCCCCACAAGATAATACCATACCCATTGCATATGAATGGACAAAAAAGCACTGGCGTAGAAAGGGGGGGGGGCACATGCCACCACATCAATTTCTGGTTCCCACCCACAATAAAAAATGAAAACATATAATGAACAGTGACACTGCATAAAAAATGCATCAAAATGTAACGTTTTAATACGTTACAATACACATTTTTGCCAAGCCTCTACGCTTCCTCAAGACTACTAGATGTAAGCATATGGTTTAATGCTCTTCACCACAACAAAAAATTAAAATTGGTGACCCCCTAGTGCCCCCCGCTGAAAGAGTCCTGGCTATGCCGTTGCAAAACAGCCAGATAGTTTGAAGTATGGAGCCCATGAACTATGTGACCACCTGATGAGTCACATGGTCCATCACATGATCAAGGTGTGAATGGGTCACCTGACTGATGAGGGACAATACTAAAAGGAAATTCTTTGTTCTAGAACTCCATGCACATGTACCAACACCCCCTATTTTTTCACACTGAAATAGAGGTAGAAAGAGAAGCAGAAGGGAAGGAGGAAGGATGGAAGGAGGGAGACAGACAGGCAGAAAAACAACATTGAAATTCAAAGAGCAAGGGAAAAAGATAGCGAGAGAGAGAGGGAGAGAGAGAGGGAGAGAGAGAGGAGAGAGAGAGAGGAGAGAGGAGAGAGAGAGGAGAGGGAGAGAGAGAGGAGAGGGAGAGAGAGAGGAGAGAGAGAGAGAGAGAGGAGAGGGAGAGAGAGAGGGGGAAAGAAAGGCAAGAGGGAGTGGGGGAATAGAGGGAGAAAGAGAGGGATAGGGAGAAAGAGAGGGAGAAAGAGAGAGAGAGAGGGGGAGAAAGAGAAGGAGAGAAAAACAGGAGACTGATAAATAGAGAAAGAGACTACCTGGCAAAGGTATGAAGAAAATAATGATTGGAAAATGAAAGGCTAACCCAAATAAAAGAAGAGATAATTTGCACAGGAGCATGATCGTACCACAATACTCCCCCCCCCCCCCCTAATAAAAAGGCCATTACTCTGGCTATGCTCATACAACTGAATGTCCTTCCATGACTGTAATGAAAGTGAAAAATCTCTACAAGCAGTTTCAGCGATTGTATATTATACAACGGAAGCGATGCATGCAGTACTATCTCTATGGTTTCCTGGTTTTGAAGATCATATCAACATTGCCCCCCCCCCTCCATTTCCATACAAGAGTACCTCAAAATCTCTTTAAAAGCTAAATCACGCTCAAGCATGGACATCTAATATGAATACAGATAATGTCTGTCATTATAATGATCAATACACAATCAATTTTGAGAAAGTACAGTAGTAATTTGAAATATCATCTGTAGTATAGGAATAAAGTTTATACATGTATGATCACATTTGTAATGCATTTAGATTTGACCACCATCATAATGGGCCAAGTAAAGATAATTCCCAATTTCTTGCAAAGATGTTATCATCATTATCATCTCTCCCTCTCTCTATCTCTCTCTCTCACTCTCTCTCTCTCTCTCTCTCTCTCTCTATATATATATATATATATATTTCTGTCTCTCTCTGTTTCTGTCTCTCTGTCTGTATGTCTGTCTGTCTGTTTCTCTCCGTGTATCTCTCTATTTCTTACTCTCTCTCTATCTTGATCTCTTTCTCTCTCTCTCTCTCTCAAATGTTTTATTTAAAAAAACAATGTTTGCAATGTTTAATATTCACATTCATTTGTCCAGTGTGAACATATCCATCAGTTATTGGAACTACAGAGTGTCAAGGAGGGAAAACCAATGGACAACCTTCAGCAAACAGCTGAATGTCAGTGGTTAGGCTTGTGAATATTTTAGAGGTGGAGAGGTAAAAACCGACGATATTATCCCATGAAATAGAGACAGATGACACTAAAAATCCTTGGAGAGAAAATATAATGATGTGAATATTTTTTTGGTTTTTTTACAGCTATCTGGTGACCTAGAGACCATGGTAATGAGAAGTTTCACACTGAATAATGAAGGTTGAGGAAGATGAGAAGAGATAGGAGAAAGAGATGGAGAAAAGGAAGAGAGAGAGAGAGAGAGAGAGAGAGAGAGAGAGAAAAGGAGAGAGAAAGTGAGACAAGAGAGATACAGAAGGCAAAAGACAGAGACTTAAACAAAAAAAAGGAATGACAATTTTGGTGAGGGACAAGAAAATGAAAAGAGGACTGACAAGTAATACCGAAAATAAACCCCCCCAAAAAGAACAGAGAGACAGACTGACAGGCCCAAAATATTCTGAAACCAGGATAAAAACTAAAATACATGTACATTAGATGCAAAAAAATGTGCAATCATTACAACAAAAAGCTTGTTACTGTAACTGTACCTTTACTTGATCTCTGAATATTTTTACATTATGCATCGGCATTTGTGTAACCAGACACAGCTGTATCACACACCAACTAGCCCCAACACAATTAAGAAGAAGAACCATATGATATATTCTTAAGGTTTCAGGAGAGAAATACATCGTGACAGGGTGTTTACTTGTTGCATCCCCAAGCCCCTTTAGCAAGGCGGCAGGAAATAAATCCATGAGATTGAGCCGACAGAGAGGGAACCATGGGGGCCAGGTAAGGCACTCGTTATAAGCCTCTACATCCAGTGATGCAATCCCGTAGGCATGGCAACCTCATCCTTCCACATGACGTGATTTAGTATGATGAAATTCTGTGATCTCTTCATTTCTTTCTCTCTCTCTCTCTCTCTCTCTTGGTCTATCTCCATATCCATATGTCGATCTGTTCCTGTCACCTGCGTGGCTCGCACAGATTCTTTTTAATAATATTTGACCCCAGTCTGTTTTTGGAAGCAATTCCTGATATGAAGAAAAAAAAACATTTCTCAGCAGCAGCAGCAGAATTACAAATTTAATTTAATGTTTTTCCATTTTTATGCTAGCTCTTTTGTTTATTCACTATTGCTCTCTCTCTCTCTCTCTCTCTCTCTCTCTCTCTAGTATTCTTTTCCTGAAATACATTTCTGATCTGTAGGATTACAAAATGAATTTAATGTTTTTTGTTATTCTTCTGCTGGCTCTTTTGTTTATTCTGTCTCTCTGTCTGTCTCTCTGTCTCTCTCTCTCTCTCTAAATATTCTTTTCATGAAATGCATTTCTCTTCTGTAAAATTACAAATTTAATTTAGTTTTTTTTTGTTTTCTTCAGGCTCTTTATCTTATTCTTTCTCTCTCTCTCTCTCTCTCTGTGAAAACTCTTTTAATTTTGCAATCATTACAGTTATCTATGAAGTGCTTTTTTTCCTAAAATACTGTTATAACTGTATTAAATGAAAACTATCACAGACTTTATTTCTGTTGTTTCAATTTTTAAATGGCCACAATCATGATAAAAGATTTTTCTCAACATTTTCTTAAAGGGATCACAGCTAAGGGCTCCCTTTTACTGTCTCCACATTGAATTTCCTCAAACATAAGAGAAAAATGAGAGTGTGCATTAAATGCCTTGCTATATCTTTGGTCACCAGAGACCTTTTAACAGTTGTTTATATTTACAAATACCTCAATTCTATGACAAATTCACAATGCGTTTTGCAACGCTGTAATCATGATCATGCAATCACAGTACATGACCTAATTTCAACTGTTTCAATCTTGCATTTTCCTTGGTGGAATGAGAATTGATTTCTCCTTGAACCCCCCTGGTGCTCACAAACATTATATTTCTATTAGCAAGCCGATTTAATTGTGAATCATTGATTTCCTCCTTGCCTGCAAGGACTCCACTAGGTCAACTTGTTATATAGATGAGATGTGTGGATACATTTTTTTTTTTAATTTGATGAAATACCTAGTTGGAAGGTACAGGTGGTTGGGCTAAAAATAAAAATAAAATAATTATGCCAAACCTCTCCCAATGTATTCTATATAATTGATCAGGATTATGCAACTTTGATTTTGAAATACAATGATTCTTTTTCCCTCAGCTCAAAATGTATTGGATGTCCAGCTAATGTATGAAATGGATTAGAAATCATACAAATGAACTATCTGTAGTTTAAAAATTCCACTTTCTTTCTTAATAACTCTCTCTCTCTCTCTGCCATTATCTTTAAAAGCTGCTTTTAAACTAAGTTATCCCACATTCTAATGACACTTTCTAAAAGACAAAATATGTTTATTATGCTTTTTCCATTATTTCCTCTTCTTAAATTAGCTACAAAATGTGTAAACAATATTATATTAAATACATTTAGAGAGCTTGAGCATATTCAATTTATCATCAGAAAATGATAAATTGAGTTGGCAAATGTCTGACACAACCTTTATTATCAATTTTAGGAACAGAATATCCTGATATTATTTTTTTTACAAATAATTTATTAACTAGAGAGAATGAAAATACTTGGGTAGAAACCCTAAAAAGCATTATCTTAAACAGGATTTCCTACCAACATATGGCCAAAGAAAACAGGCTAATTCCATTCTCCATACGACAGGCCGTTGTCTTGTCTTTAAACACACAGTCCACCACCTCTCTCTCTCTCTCTCTCTCTCCCACACACACTCTCTCTCACACACACACACACACACACAAACCTGCACCCACACACTGCGGACCTTTACCCTTATCAATGCCAACAGGGGCTGACGTGTGTGCCCATGTCTGCGAGGGAATAAGTGTGTCCATGCATAATACACATCGGAGCTCCTTGCATCGTCTGTGTTTACCTTGCCCTACCTGTCTCTTAAACCCTCCACCAAAGTAAAGGTATGGGACACATTATTTGGTTTGTAGGGACAAACCTTGTCTGATGTGTATAAAAGGGTCTGATGTGTATAAAAGGGTCTGAAATGTTGTGGCTGCAGACTAAAAAGCCTTGATTACGCACTAGCTGCTACACTAGGGTCAATATTGTGAAGCCGGTTCACAAAGACTCTGTGTACTTTATGAACATGTAGAGTTACAAGTCTTTTGTTCGAAGCTTCTCTTTAATACTCAAGAGATATATTTCATCCCATTAATTCACACAATGTGGTGAACTCATTTTATTGGTGTCACTCAGTTTATATTCAAAGGATGAATTGCAATGGAAGCTTTATAAGCAATAAAATGTATCAATACATCACTCATGTGCATATGTACGTCATACGCCTATTATAAATGTTTCACCTAATCATCCTATTCTCTCGCTATCTTTCTTGCATTGTCCCCTATCCCCTCAGTTCGCTCTCTCTTTCAAACTTACCTGCTTCATTCCATCCCTCCACCTACATGAGTCTTTTACTTTCACATTTCCTTGCCTTCTGTTAACTCCTTTTTATTCATGTCCCACTTTAAAAGCAATAAAATGCATTAATACATCACACACATGCATGTGTACGTCATAAACCCGTTATAAATGTATTGCCTATAAAAATTCTTCTTTTTCTCTCGATATCCTTCTTGCATCATCCCCCCCCCCCCTTTCCCTCAGCAGGCTCTCACTCGCTATTCTTTCTCTCTCTCTCTCTCTCTCTACCTCACAGGCTTCGTTCGCCCCCTCTACCTTTGCCTATCATTTTGGCTCCACACCAACTATCTTTCACTTTCCCTTGCCTACAGTACATGAATGTTATGACCTTTGACCTTTAACCTTTCAACTGACAGCCTTAGCCCAAGTGTGCTTCTTCTCGTTATCCAATCAAAACATTTTTACAAATCATTTTTCACCAACAATCACTCCTTTAAATTCTGTTCATATGCAAATACCATGCCGCAACATGCACAATTGGCCCCTCACCTTTGACTCCTTCACATACAGTTGTTGTACTTCTTTTTTTTAAAATAAATTTTAAAGATTTCCTCAAAACTTCAATCAACACACAAAGTTAATAATTTGACCTCTTACCTTTAACCTGACACCCTTTGCCCCTGTGGAGTCTGCCCTTTCGCTGCCTGCCAGGTCAACCAGACTGACCTTGCTGACCTTCTCTGTGCACATGTTGGTCTCGACGTCGTGTCGCTTCTGGGTGAAGACGATGGTGAAGACGGCGTGTGATCTACTGCTTGTCTCGTTCATGTTGGTGGAAGCTACAGTTCTGCAAATTTTATGACAAAACAAAATAAGATTGCATTACACACATCCTAAAATATAAAATAATACAACCTGACTGGCTTGACCTCTCAACTTTACCCTGATCTGATAAGAAGAAAAAAACACTATTGTATTTTGTATCTTCAAATGTATTCAAATCTAAGGGGAAAAATAATACACATCACGGCCTGAAACGATACAATAATTTTACCTCACGTTTAACTTCTATGTATTTTACAAAGGTTTTGAGTTTACTCATGAACGGAAGTCGCAATGTCCATATTTGTAGTGCACCTCCTGTATATGAACATGCAATTTGTCAACTTATTGCTTGTTTTGAGCAAACATGTCACATTTAGCTTTCTATACATCCTCATACTATAGGACAGCAGAAAGTCTCAAGTAAGCAACAAATCATTCCTCATTCTCTATTTCTCCTCTCACCTTGCTTTATTTCCCTCGTCCATCAGGTCTGATATATCGCTAAAGGAAGTGACGGCTAGTTTGGAAAGGTCCTCCACGTAGGGTCCTAGAAGGGGGTGTTCCCTCACCCTCAGGTTCTTCTGGTTCTTGGGGTTGAGGAGGTCACGAACCCTCTCACAGTAGATCTCCATGTAACTGACCTCTACCGAGAACTTCAAGTTGGGGTCCGAGTTACAGTTGATGCGGTCGAAGAGCTCCTGGCAGAGCTGCAAAATAGAAGTAAAAATCAAGTACAAATTAAGGAAATCAAATATAAATCAAGTAAAACTCAAGTATAAATCAATTCAAATAAAAATGAATTCAACATATGAATCAAGTACAATACTGAAGTACAAGAATCAATTAAAAATCAAGTAAAAGCAAATGCACGGTTTAATGTAAATGAAGATTTCTGGTCCTAGAGTTAGCCAAAAATAGAAGTCTAAGTATCAGTAGTAGTATTAGTAGTAGTTGTAGTAGAAGTAGTATCAGTAGTAGTTGTAGAATAAAAGTAGTGGTAGCAGTAGCAGTAGCAGTAGCTCAGTGCATAATTGTTGTGAAACGACTTTATACACAACATTGGGTGAATCCCTCCTTACACAGGGGTTGTCTTAAGTTATGTAAAAAAAAATACACAACTTTACACAACAAATTTGCAGGAATGTGTTGTTTATTTTTTATTTTTTACAACTTAACACAACCCCTGTGTAAGGAGTGAACCACCCAAAAATGTGTAAAGTCATTACACAACAAATTTGCAGTGTAGTAGTAGCAATGACAGAAGCAGTATTGGTATCAGCAGCTGCAAGTCAAAAGTGGAAGAAAAAAGAGAAAGGATACAAATTCTTACCTGTGGTATAATACCCTGTTGGCTTGGTTCTTGTTTTCCCATCATGGTATAGGACTTGCCTCCTCCTGTCTGCCCATACGCAAATATACACACGTTGTACCTGGGTAGAAGAGATACAGAAAATAAAGAGCATAATTTTTTTGACTTGAATTTTTTTTTTTAATTTAACTGATCAAAATGACGAATTAGGCGCAAAAGATGCTTAAAGTATTTACCTGAAGAAAATTCATGACAAGTTGACAACTGATAATTATGGACAAATTATATATGGATGGAAAGATTTTCTCTTGAAAAACACGAATAATTTGCTGAAAAATCATATAGATATCATGGGAAGGCTTAAAATACTATTTTGTGGCTAGCTGTGTCTCGCATGTGACGTCACAAATCTTGACGCTCTACGGAGGACCGCTGAAGGCAGAAAATCTCGATTTCAAAATTAACCTTTTTGAGAGATGATTACTGCGGGCCCTAAATATATTTTGAAGAGGGAAGTTGTTATATTTGATCAGTAAGGCTTCCCTTTTGCAATGATATCAATTCAAAGCACTTTTGATTCTTTAGGTGACTACTTTAACAGCCAACCATTCCTAATTTGGAGGAATGATTCCTATTTTTAGCATTCAAACTAATGTTATTAACATTGGTTTCCTTTATTTTCCCAAAACCATCTGTGTAAAGCACATACTAAGTTCTCTATATTCATAACTTTGCCTTTAGAAATTCTTACTTTTCAGCTTTGAAAGTGTGGCACGTAAGTAAATATATATATTTTAATAGGAATGAGAAAGAAAAATAGATAATGAGGAGGAAAACACAGATATAAAACAAAGAGAATAAAATGAGGCATATAACATAAGGAAATTGAAAGAAAGAAAAGAATCTAAATAATGAAGAGCTAATATCATAGAAAATGGAAGAGATGAATGAAGAACAAAAAAGGAAAGGGAAGAGAAAAGATTAGGAACCAAAAGCAATATCCACAAGATGGATAAAAAGGTAAACATCCTGAAAACGACCCAATGCACAGAACCACTCAAAAATTATATTTTGACATATCTACAGTGGAAACTTGTTATAACGAGGTCCCTGAGACCATGGCAATTACCAGGGTAAAAAAAAAAAAGAATATAAGAGCTGGGACCAGTAAAATCACCTTGATACCTGTTATATCAGAGATCTTTATAACAAGTTTCCACTGTATTCCATTTGAATCCATTACCATCTCTCTCCCTCCCTCCCTCTCTTCTATTTCCTTTAGGGAGATATATTCTCAAACAAAATCCAGATCATACAGTAATCATCCCTATGAGGCATGCAGAAAAGCAAAATCAATCATCTACCCAATATTTCCCCAAATTAAATAAGTAATGAAAACACCGTTATCTTCATCAGTGGACCACTCAGCGCTGAATTAGATTTCAGATCTTTAACAAAATCCATTCCAAATGGTCACCATGTATTTCTTGCAGTGAGTGGATTACGTGATTGGAATCCTAGAGGAGATGATTTGTATTGTGCCATAAATCTCTACTATCAATCATATCTGTCAATTGAATCCCCTCTGCACTAGTTTGGCCAGGAGGGATTAGACCTCCCTGCAAGGTCACTGACAGGTGGTTATCTCATCAAATCAGCTCTCAATTAACATAAGAAAAAGTGGATCATGGGAGACCAATGGTCAACCATAAGGCATTGTTTGCTATATAGAGGGCGCAAGTAGCTATAAGTAGGGCAGTGGGGCTTTAAATAACACTCTGGATCAATCAATTGAAGACTACTCGATACATATTGAAATAATAATAATAATAATAATAATAATAATAATTGGATTTATATAGCGCCTTTTCCAAAGGATACAAGGCGCTGTCTCTTAGACTATCAACAATTTAAAAGGGAGTTGTACAGGCAATTTTTCAGTTGTTTTTTGAAGAAATCTAGTGAAGTACTGTTTCTTAAGAATGAGGGGAGTTTGTTCCAGAGATGTGGGGCTAAGGACTGAAAGGATTTAAAACCAGCCTGTTTACCAAAGGTAGGAGCTGATGAAGACCTAAGGGAATAGGATGTTCTCTGTTGCTGAAAGAGTGAGGAAATGTATACAGGAAGGGTAGTCAACATAGATTTGAAATGTGGATCAGTAAATGATTTGTCCTCCTTTGTAACTATTCAAATTTCACACATCTTTTTTATTTTGTTTAAAAAACTGGCTTCCAATTCACCCTTCCATTAAAGATATGTGTGAAAAATAGTTTTATGATTATCTTAACAGATACCTTTAATACAAGAAAGCCTTAAAAACAAGGAAATGTAGATGTAAGAAATTTAACTTGTTGTTAAAATCATTTTAATATGTTTACATTAACTCTAAAATCGATCTGAAAGTACAAAAAATATCTCTCTTGGAGCTACAGCATAAAAAAGGCATGTATGTAGAAAAATGGAAAAAGCTTGTAGGTATGGAAATAATATTTTTGAACATGAATTGATAAAGTGAAATGCAAAAAATCAATAAATACAAAATTTAAAAAAAAGACTTTTAAAACCGTTCAAAATATCAGGTATTTTTAAAAATGAGTAAAAAAAACATCATCCAGTTTGTGTTTATTTAGTTTTGATTTTTGCTTGTTTTTTTCTTCTGTCTTTTGGGGCATTATTTTTGTTGTGGATCTCTGTTTTTATGCAGTTTTCATGCTCTGTTTTGTGGAGCAAAAGATGTATTTATAGATGCTTGATTAAAGTCAGTATCAAATAATGAGCTGCCAGTCAATTGCCCGAATATATTAAAAACAGAAAGTGCCTTGAGAAAGCAAATGCTAGGCTTTTCCTAGCTTTATGTATTCCCAGAGATATGTGCAAGCTTGGAATTTGTCTGGGACTTTTCCTCATAAAGGTCATCTATAAATGTCAGGAGAGAATATGAAATTTACAAGAAGCATGATGACAAAGATGGGAAAGACGTTATTCAGAGAAACACAAATATATGGACGATGAAATACAAGGATTGAGGGAAAAATAATAAGAGGAAACATAAGATAGAGACAGCAACAGAAAAAAAGAAGAATGTAGATCATTAGATCTAGTTAGGCACAGAGGCAACTGGTGACATGTGACATTGACAGTTACAGAATAATCATTCAAACAATTAAAATTCCAGGTTGTAGAATCGATCGGTACAGGGTGATGGAAAACGTATTAAATTCACATATTAAAAGGTCATCTACATTGCATCACAACAAAAAATAATAGGTAAAAGGAATATTGATCTACATGTACGTGGTATCCCGTCTCATTTTCCCTGTGTTTTTCCTTCTATTGATTTAACCTTATTGCACTTAGATGCTGTATTGCAACTGTCGCGGGTCCGACTAGCTCAGATATACACTGTACGCAATTTCATTTGAAGCTCATTACTAATGTACCATGTCTCTATAAGAGTGCCATAGGAGCAGAGCCAATAAATCAAACATCATGTTGTCGTCGTTGTCGTCGGAGCCATCGCAGGCCGACCACGCAGAGCTGTATTTATTGGGTGACTCATCCTCATATGATTGTACTGCGCATGGGCGGAGGAAGGGCAGCTTACTGCCTCTTCTTAGGGGCGGGATGGCATCTCTCTGCCTCTCCATCTCCATCTCACTGACTCTCTCTCTCTCTCTCTCTCTCTCTCTCTCTCTCTCTCTCTCTCTCTTTGTGCCTTTTTCTCATTTTCTCTTTTACCACTCCTTCTTTCAATGTAAACTCCGATTCCTCCCCTTCACCCCCTTTATCTCTTCTCTGCCCCCTCTCTCTCTCTCCCTCTCTTTCCACTATTTACTTCTAAACATGAATCCATCTACATGTATCTGTTTCTCTGCATGCCCCCTCTCTCTCTCTCTCTATCTCTCTTTTCCTCTTTCTAAATTCACCACTATCTCCATCTTTTTTTATTTCCCCCTTTCCTCTTTCTATACCTATCTCCCGGTTTCTCTATGTGTGTCTAATCATGTGCATCTCTAATTTATTGTCACTTAATTCCTCCCTTCAGTTTCTTCCTGTATATCTTCATCTCACTCACATCCCCCCCCCCCCCCCCCACCAAAAATACCAACTTCTCTCTCCATCCCTCTTCCCCACCCCCTCTTACTCTATTTCCCTGTCTTTGCAGAGTTACAACTGTTTGAAGTTGATAGTGATCCTGAGAAAGTTGACAGTTTCATAATAACAAAACAAAAAACATACACCTCAATGCTTACACTGCAATAATCAGTGTTCACATTACTATAAAAATATCCAAGAATAACCTTGTTAGCAGGCTCACACCCTTGTCAGTATTAGTACATGCACGTAATAGTGTCTGCAATGCGAGACTATATTGACTGTATTATGGTCTACTGTACTCTAGCTGCTCCTGACAAGTTGAATCTTATTTGACACACCCAGAGACTGACATAGCTAGGCTCTACTCAAAACTTTAAGAAGTGTAGTCACGAATCAAATTAAAGTCTGTGCCTACAGAATAGAATACACCAGTGTGAATACATCTACTATCACACCGATGTGAACACATCTCATATCACACATTATAACCAGATGAACATGTTTACAGCTAGCAGTAATAACCTTTTCATCCCACTATTGTAAATATTTGGGCCAATGGTCCATCAAATTACAGCTGGGGGAGAGTTGTGGTCTAGAAGGATAATTTTCCTTGTCAACTCCCCGCTATCATATACCTCATATACATGTGTGGTAGGCAGGTGTGATGAATACAAATCTCCTCATTACTGTCTTTTAAAGGGAGTTTGTCATCAAATTTCAAGAGAATTAAGCAATTTAGGAGCACTAATTCAAGTTTTACCATAAAAGGTTCATACACAAAATTGTTTTTAATTAAGCAATTTGAATACCGGTAATAGCATTCTTTGGAGGGAGGCAAATTACATTTACAAATAGCCCATAATACCAATAATAATAATAATAATAAAAATGTTACTTATAAAGCGCTATACAAACAAAATGGACTGATATACAATTACATCTTATACAAAACTAAAAATGCAAATAAACATACAAATTACAATACATACACGTCAAAGTGAACAGAGTTAATTAATCATCGAACGCAATTTTGAATAAATGTGTCTGACAGTTTGACAGTTTTTTACATTTAAAGGTAATCTGTTCCAAAGTTCAGCAAGTCTCAAATGTGGTCAATAGTTTTGATGCAGAGAATATTTTACCAATGCCAATGGGTTATGAAATATCAGGAAAAGATATCGTACAAACTGGGAAGGATTATGTACTACAATATGTAATTAATACATTACATGTGTGTTACAATCAAAAGCAGAATTGATATTAGATGTTGTATGCCAGATCTACATGTAGATGTACGTGTAGGCTCTACACAAATCCAGTATTCATTTGCTACATGTATATGTGTACCAGTATGTGTCCTATACCTTTTGAGAGCTCCATTGCTATTGTACACGTAGTTGCTGCATATATATAGGGCATGAAGAACCAGAGAGTTGAATATTCCTGAAAGTCGGTCAACAGCTCCGTGGCTGTTTGCTATGACAGGTGGTTGGACATGCCCCTACGGGATGATTTTCACGCCCTTTTGCCCCCTTCCCCAAAAAGATTATCACAAATAATGATTAAGCTGTATTTTTCAGAATAATGGATTCTTCTGATATGTACTCCCTCCCCCTACTCTCTGTCTCTCTCTCTGTCTGTCTGTCTCTCTCTCTCTCTCTCTCTATCACACACACACACGCACACATACAAACACACACACAAGTGAGATGAAATGCATCATGGGTATCATTGGATATGGGGCAAAGGATGGAGGGCAAAATAAACAGGTGTAAGAAAAGTAGAACACTCATCATTGACAATGAGTCACATACTTAGCCTTCCAAGAATACACAGAAATCGCAGAATACCATTTCCACTCCTTTACCTGTGTTTGTTTACGAGGTCAGAACGCCTTGTTGCATCTTCCAAACAAGTTATTCAGTTAGTCACTCCTGCACTTTAATCTCTCTCCCTATTTTGCACTCATTTTCTTTAGTGTTTTACAAATACTAATTATTTTGTTGAATCAGATTTATAGGTCAACAGTCAGTGGATGAGATTTAAAAAAAAACACCTCTGAATAAGACTACACATTTTCCTTTTAAGCATATTTTATCATAATTTGTTATATTACCATCCAAAAATTTGATCATTTACAAGGGCTTCTTCCTCTTGTCCTCATATGATCTCCTCATTTTTATCCCTATAATTGAATATAAAAATAAAATATTTACATGTGTGATAAATATGTTATTGGTTGGTTGTTCATTAACCCCAGTACGTTTCATTATGGACTTGCTTTGAGTCATTCCCACTTAGTGATTCATTGACAGTTTCACTGGTAACCTTCATGCCTCACTACAGCATGCTTGTCAACAGCTTTCCATCCTTCCTTCCATCACTTCCGGTGGGGTTTCCTCGGATGTTATCCTCCATCCTTCCCTCCTCTCTTTCTCTCTCTCTCTCTCTCTTTTCCTATCTACCTCTCTCTCTCTCCCTCTGTCACTCTCACCCTTTCTCACTCCCACTTGCCCTCCTGCCTTACGTTCCCTTTCCTCTCTCCCTTCCCTTCCCCTTTCTCTTCCTATACCCACCCCCTGTCCTGTGATCTCTTTGCAATCTATCACACTCCCTCTCTTCTTCTCTCCCTTCCTCCCTCACATCCTTCCTCCTTCATCCACTCCCTCCATCTCTCTCTACATCAAAAGCTTTCTATCTAACAGCAACTCTTCTTGCAGTTTTACTTGCTTTTCATGCTCCATCCATCCATAATGCCTTATGACTATCTCCATGTATCTCTATTTTCCTGCCCCCACAAACTTCTATAATTGCCATCTTACTCTCTCTCTCTCTCTCTCTCTCTCTCTCTCTCTCTCTCTCTCTCTCCCTCTCTCTCTCTCTCTCTCTCTCTCTCTCTCTCTCTCTCTCTCTCTTGCATCCTTTCTCTATTTTGTTTCTCAATCTTTCTGTCTCATCTCTCTACCTATCATATCAGTCTCTCTCCTTCCCTCTTCCATCCCCCATCTTTCTCTCTTCCCTCATTCCCTCTCTGGCTCCATTGACCAATCTTCCTTTCTCTTTTTTCTCTCCCTCCCTCCCTCCCTCCCTCTCACTCTCTCCCCTTCTCTTCCTCTCCCCCCCTCTCTCTCTCTCCTCTCCCTCCCTCTCTCCCTCTCCCACTCTCTCTCGCCTCCCCATCATAAATCAGGTCAGTAGACGTGGGAGCCTGCATAATGGCATAATGGCCCTTTCATCTTGCACATAAATAATGCATGCTTAAAATCCTTTCTCAAGTGTAATGTCTTTGATAACGAGCAGGATTATCAAACATCTTTCTTTCCAAGATGAAAGCAGAATAAACGTCAGTAATCATCATGGGAAGAATAGCTTTATACCACATAAAGAAAAAAAAAAGAATAGGTTTATACATACAGATGTATAATGGCCCTGAGCAAAGAGTACGTATACATTATTTATATTCACTTTCGTAATGACCAATTTCTTCTATGAAACCTTTTTGAGTGATGACGGTCAATCTGTTTCTTTATTTATTCTTCCCTCCCATGCAGCCTCTAATCTTCTGTTCTTCCCTCTCTAGTATTGGCCATTTTTCTTTTCTTTGTTTTACTCTCTATATGACAAACATACAATCTCAATGTGCTACATCATATTTACCATGGGATAGATACTATTACTAAAGTCTTTTAGATTGTTTCACTGTTTCCAAAGCAAGATTAATCTATACCAGAGTTAAAGGCGTTGTCATGGAGCTAATCACGAATGGAAATGAATAATTTTGCAAAGGTATTGTGTTGCACAAAGCAATCTTTTTTTGCAATTCGTGCCCACACGTATTATTTTGTAGGAAATTGCTTGTGTGGTTAATGAATATAGCAAGTACATATAAAGTGTTAAGATTACTTGGGTCTATCCACTTCACTTATTTTCAAAAGCTTATTATATAATAATCTGTTAGGACATTTATATTAACAAATTAAATGTACGAAGATTAAAGCCCTAAAGAAAATGACTGCAAGTGCAGAACTTCAACACTTCAATTATATATCTCCTTAAAAAAACTAATGATTTAGATCTTTTCTACGTGCAAATGGTAAACAAAAATAATTAATTTACTACGGTACTCCAGAAAATAAATCAATTAATGTTTCCCTTCTGGGTTCAAGTTGCATGCTTGATTTCACAGAAATACATCATGCATGGATAACACATTATGTCATTCATGAACATGTGCATAATCGATTATGACATTTCATTTTAAGTTCAGGGTTCCCTCTGAAATTTTTGACCAAAGTCAATGACTTTCCATGACCTATTTTTGACTTTTTACCATGATCAGTATAAGTACCATTTTGGTTTAGGTCGCGGCATATACAAGCTGCGTACAAATACGATGCCCATTGTCAGTTCAAACTGGAAAGATGCCATAGCCACACCCGGCCCCACACCAATGACAATTTCCATGACTTTGGAAGTTATTTTTTTCACTTTGCATTATTGAAGACTTTCCAGCATTTGTTTTAATTTTATTTTTCAGTTAAATCCTGTTTTCAATATGATCACTATTTGTTTTATACTGTTAACATGGAGTTGCTGAAAATCAGTCTTTTTTTAGGGTGATGCAATACAGTGATTAAAGACAAAAACCAGTAATGGTAAAATTGCAGTTCAAGGGTTTTGGGTGCAAAATATCTATTCAATATTGTTCAAATATTACCTTCAGAGGTTTAGATGGCAATACTTCAACTTAATTTTGCAAAAAGGCGGAAATATATGCCCACATGTTTAATGTTGAAGTGCATTCGCGATATCTATCCAGACCGGATCGATATGATAATTTACCAAATATATCAATTAGTAGGTAGTTTCCCAGCAAACTTTATATCATCACGAATAGTCAAAACATATTCTTTCACATGATTGTTATTTCATTTTTTGAGAGGGGGGCGTTTGCAAAACTGGTTTATACCTTTAAATAAAATCAAACAAATGGGAGATCTCAGTAACTCACCCTTCAAACGCATGTTGAAGCATCTCCTGTCCCAGGTCCTCGTAGACTCTCCTTTGAGATGCATACCTGGGGTCTTCAGGCTAGAGGATGAGAGAGAAGAATAAACAAAGAAAGAGAGGAACAATCAGAGCATGTGGACTTCAAATAAACATTGCAGGGTGAAATTTCAAGCAAGCAAGATAGATCCAACTTTAAAGGGTGAGCCCTGGTATTGATCATGATTGAATGATCTGGAGTGTTTGTTTTTCTTAACTCATAAATGAAAGAATTACCGTAGCAGTTACCCATATATTTATTTTCTGATATCTTTTAGGTTTTCTTTTTCTATTTCCTACTTTTCTACTTTCAATACCATTCATTGTACATTGTACATGTACATCATTTTCCTTTATTTCTTTCCAGGGGGGTGTTTCACAAAGATCCTAAGTAGAACTTAACTCTAAGTTGGACTTAAAAGTTATGGACAGCCATTGGAGTCTTTAAATGAAATATATTCAAAAGCAGAAATTCAATTATTTTAGACTTTTTATTAATTCCACATCCAGAACATGAAATCTCCTTGATGATAGAAAATATGAATGATTTCAATAAACAATGAATGCCTTTCAAAATAACTTTTACAAAATATTTTCAAAGATGCTAATGGCTTTCCATATTTTTAAAGTCCAACTTAGAGATAAGTTCAACTTAGGATCTTTGTGAAACACCCCCAAAATTCTCTCTCACTCTACCCCCCCCCCCTTCCTCTCTCTCTCTCTCTCTCTCTCTCTCTACCCCCCTCTCTCTCTCTCCCCCTCTCTCTCTCTCTCTCTCGTTCCTCTTTCACACTCACTTCTCTCCTTCATCTTGATCTCTATCTCATTTATCGCTTCTCTCATTTTTCATCCTCTCCTCCTTCCCTCTCCCTTTAACTTGCTTATTATACCTTGTATACCCCTCTCTCTATCTCTGATCCTTTTACACAGTCTCTCTTTCTCTGCATCTCTGTCTCTTTCTCTTTCTCTCATCATTTGTCTATTTTGTATTTTTTTGAGGAACTTCATATCTACTGTAGATGTATTAGATAAAGCTCAAAAGTAGAAACATATTCAAATAAACATACAGAATTGTTTTTCTTTTAGTGGAGGGAAGATTTAATTGTACTTTGAAGACACACTCAGCCTACAATCAACTAAAACAGATATGTGCAAACAGCGTTCTTGTTTCCTCAAAAGTACAAAACCCTTTGGGAATAAACAATTAAGGAAATTATCATATTATTAGATTACAGACACATAAAGAGATTCTGAAACATCACAAGATGCCTACTGAGCCGAACAAACACAAAAGCAAGTAGGTGGGACACACCTTCATGTAAAAAATAAAATATTCACCAATCTACCCAGGTGTGCATATTTTGTGACAGGTAGAGAGATCAATTACATTCATTGCCCGAGTCCTCATGATTTATTCAAACATCTGATCATCTTACCCATAATGCTTCCTGATATATAGCCCCCTCATGATCTACTTTGGCACATCCTCTCTCCAGGGGCTAGTGGTACCTGGATTGACTCGGCTAATGTTTAACTCTAGAAGAGCCGAGACAGTGGGCTGGTAACTATTCATCGTTTTTTCCTCTCTACCCCCCCCCCCCCACCCCCTCAACAAAAACAGAATTAAAGCAACCTTTTTGATCAAATTTACCAAGTACCTTGGTGAAACTAGTCTTAATGTCACCCTTTTTTTAAACTAAAAGGTGGCCACAGATTTTGACTTTATTATGGGTGTCCATAATTTATTTATTTATTTTATTTTGGGTATCCATGCCGGAAAACTTACCGGTAACCTAGCTTCCAATTAGTACTTCTACATAGATATTGCTATTAAATTCTACTCAAAATAAAAGTAGAACAGATTTCCTGCTGTCTGATTTTCCTTACAAGTAAAAAGCTTTCATCATCATTCAAATCAGGAGTTATTTATCAGATTTCAAGCTAAACACAGAATTTCTTGAGCTGGACTGCCACGGGCGCTTCTCATCATATTATTTTGCATGTGACGCATGCAACCCATTTCTCTCTCTGATTATTTTTCAGTTCTTAACCAACGATACTCCCTTTGCACACAACAGCCACTCCAGAAATTCAACCATTCATCATGTTGATGCCCCATTTTTCTGTGGCTTGCCTCCAATTATCGAGTGTTCCCAGGCAACATCTCCGCCTTGCACTAAGTAACAACACTGAGGTCACTTCAACCTGTTTGGAGGTCATTTAGAAGATGAAGTCAACTTCTTGTCAAGTGATAGCATTAAATGCAATTGGGAAAGGTTGACTGTGTAGGACCTACAAAAGAATAAATGTATGCTTTTTACTTAAAAGGAATTGACTCGATCTTGCTATCTTGATATTACTGATTCATCGGCCCTTCGGGTCATATGAATTGTTAGCCTGTTCATATGTTCCCTCTCAAATTACAAGAAAATCAAAAACTGAAGAAAATAAAAAGAAAAGATTTGAGCAAAATATGGACAAAATTTATATCCTAAAAAGGCTCTTTCAGAATTGAATGAAAATAAAAGAAACAGACGGAAAATGAAACTAACGCATTTACATATTCAAAGGTTCCAACAGTTGTCAAATCCAGTTTAGATAAAGACTTTATTGTAAAGTAATACCAGAAAAGATGCACGTAGCACTTATATGATCAGAATTAAAATGACCATTCACTGCAACGATATTTGACAGAGATACAAAATCAAATTTAACTGTTCAGTACTACTATATTCAGTCAAGACATATTTTAACGGAACAGAAAAGTGGCAACAAAATTAAGCAAACTCCGGCTCACTGAGACATGTAAATGCACCATGCACTCGCCATCCCCCAAAGTGCATATTGACACAGAAGGCATTATGCCCATTTGGATTTGGACCAAGTTAGCAGACGATGACACACATGTAGGAGGGAATGGGATGATATTTTCGGATGCTAAACCTTTATTTGCTGAATGCAACATACAGAACTTCAAACACTTCTTTGTCGTATGGTAGGAATAACATATGGAACACACCAGACAGAAATATGCAATATATAGTGCTTCAGTCGGCCATTTTCGTAATGTAATCAACTCTAATGCATAAATCTTTGATAAGTGCCTCATCACAAATTAATACATTCACCTGTTACAAATAATCAGAATGCAAATTGCATATATTACACGTTATTATGTGGGGAAAGCAATAGTGTTTGTCCTACCTACTGTACATGTAGCAACAACATTATAGTGTTTCAATTGTTTCTTTGTAGTACATGTATTTGATCCCTGAAATACATGTATTGAAACACGCTGCAAGTATTATGCAACATGTAGTGTTTCAAACACTGTTTTTTATTTTATCCATGTAATACATCCCAGAGTAATATGAAAGATAAAGTCCTTCAATCACGATTTTTATACCTGTCTACAGCGACCGCCCAAAGGAAACACAAAAAGTGGTCTTTGTAGACAGGTTCCTTTAGTACATGTTTCAATGAGAAACCATTTTCAAGGGAAACAAAAAATGCGCTTGTTGTAGACAGGTGGTCTTTGTTGACAGGTGGTCACTAAAGTAGGTTTGACTGTAGTATGTTATTTATGAAATATGGGAACACATCCCAAGTAATATGTAATGTGCATATATCGCATTTTAATAATAACCTTGTATTACATTAGGCATGATATATGGAGAGGCACTGCAGGTACTTTGCAACGTATAGTGCTTCAATCACTACTATGTAGTAGGTTATCCATGAAATATGGGAACACACCTTCCAGTAATATAGAATTATGATGATGGCTATTAAGCCTGTCCCAAGCCTATAGCTTTCACAGGTGGTTTTTAAGCACTCGAGGTGGGCCTAATGACTTGTCTGTTAGCTAATTTATCGATGAAGTTTATACAGGCTATGACATCATACTCGACTGCCACATTACACGGTGAAGGAACTCTCATTATTAAAGCGTCATTCGCCATGTTCACACGTGACGTGATAAACCGCCCCCTCAAGAACAAAACGGCAAACTTAAACTAACGTGGAAGGACTACGATCTACTAAGGAAAGACTGCAAACTAGTAGCTGTGTGTAACAACGGCCCCACAGCGCAATTATGCATATGGATCTATGCTGACATTTCATATGAAATAGAAAATTGGGGTGCAGTATGGTTACGTCATTATATTTTGGTACAGATAATTTTTGAGCCAGTTTACGTTCTTGTGTGTGAATGAAGCCAGGTCATATCTGAGTGAGCCCTTACTGTGAAGGAAAGTACATAGCAGCTGTTAAAAGAGTTATCACGCATCCACTCATTCATGATCAAACTATCAAGCTACATGTATGTTAATTTTGGGTGTTTACAACGTCTATCAAATAATCTAATTTTAATCTCTTCTTCAGAATTTAAAATTAGAGTTTGGATTAATGACACGGATCTAATTTTAAACTTTGCATTTGAATTTAATGCATAATTCTCATGGTGATCTTGCTTTACTGAGCTACATGTAATGTTAAAACATGGAACTTTGTTCTATAATTACAGTTAAAAACTTTCATTAACTCTTTATATGCCGCACAAATAATCTCCCTGTGGTAATTTTTTTTATTATCATGGGATAGATATACCAAAGGTTTCAAGATTATTTAACTGTTCCCAATGCAAGGTTAACATAGAACTGTGTTAAAAGGGTTTCCAAGGTACAAATCAAGAGGAGAAATGAGTAAATTTTGCAATGCCTTCCTTCCATCAATTAGTGCCTATTGAAGTGTTGTGGAAAATTGCGTGTGTGGCAAATGTATGACAGTGTAGAGAGGCAACGGAAGCAATCAAAGTGTTAATCTTTTTCATAAGAAGCCTTATATACAAGGACTTGATCAAGAAAGATAGAATAACATTAAATACACTGTATCAGCTTTACTTGTCAATACTAAAATTACTTAAGCTGTAGTATATGAAAAATCAAGGGATTTAGCTTGAAGGAACAGAAAAATGTCTTCATCATGTACATAATTGTTTCTTTTTCAGTGAAAAAGTCGAATAAGTCACTCAAAACATTTCA